CTTCTAAAGAATAATCAATCTTATATAAACTCGATCAAGGTTTTAAACCTAAATGATTATATTAGGGAATTCAATTCACCTGCCTAATCAGACAACTTAAAGTATCTATTCATAATCATCAACTCGCCTTAGAAAAGTATCGATATCATACAAATCGAAAACAAGAGTGTTAAAGACGAAAAGAAGGCAAATACAACCATTGTAAAGTATGCGTAACAAGCATATGTCTGAATCCGACTACCCGTGTACTATCGATTCACAACATACCTTCAAAGATAACCATCTTCTTTATCAATGTTATAAACAGAGAAACTAGACCGAACTGTTGGTATAAACACCCTATCAGAAAACCTAAAATGCTGATATTACACAATGCAGTTTTATAGGATTCCACTTCTATTTTACACGACCAGTATTCAACAATATCGATCCACGACATTTTAAGCTAAAAGAGCTATTTATAAACATGTAAATTAAAAATATACTATACTATTAACATTTTTGCATCTATCAACATTAACTGTTTGAGCCTGAATACGACTACTCTCAGAACTCATTTGATCAAGCAGTTTATTTAACTGAATCAGTCAAATAAAATATTATCCATAATTTAGCAACTTGTCTATGAAGACGAAAAGTTCTGAATATAGAAACTTATACAGGATACAATTTGTTTTTGTACGGATATTCAGTATCTAAAAAGATATGCCTGAACTCTACCCTCCTGGTAACGATTCACGACATTTCCCAACCAAAAAGTTCTTTATGATTACTCTCAGAACCCCTTAATGGCATTTTGATCATTTCTAAATAAGAATCAATGTTGTGAATAGCAAACAAACATGTTTGCGATAACATATAGCCTACAAAAAATTCATTAAGAATCTGTCTAATCCAAGCATCTTCTTGATAATAAAAGTTATGAAAGTGTACAATTTCATTTGCAGGATATGAAGTATCCAAGGTGTAACTATGAATCCGACCCTCCTGGTTCACTGCAATAATGTCATAAGCTTATAACTTAAATACCATACAAATATAGATTACCAAACAACGACATTTAACAATTCAACAATGACTCCTGAGTAACACAACTTGTTAGGTGTTTGTCATGACTTACAACATTGAAATGCTTACGTTGCACAACTTTATTAGTTTATACAAAAACTATAATGTAATATCTATCTCTGTATATGCGCAACATAAGAGTTCATTTGAAAAACTTTTGCTGTAAAATAACATTTTAAAATCTTTGCCCAACACTGCTTTTTGCTGAACCGAGGGGGCATATTTGCACCTTGCAAATACCATGTCTGAAACAAATCAACAAGCCTAAAACCGTAACTCTGGTTTAAAACTGCCAAATCTAAATAGGATGTTTGTTTGTAAGGATTCCATCTCCCTATAACACATAAAATGCAGTCTTTGTAAATCTTCGGAAAACGTACCCGTTTGCGTAGTGACCTAAATATCTGAAACAATTGTTTGTTTGTTTATCTTTATTTCCTTCTCGAAGAAGAGCTTTTTTAGAAATAATTATACAAGCAGTTATTTACAAAACTATTTACAAAACAAATATAATATTTACATTAGTAATTTGACTATGTTTTACCGCATGCATACTTTGCCACCAAGATGATTATTTGTTCACATACATTTTCATTTAACTGAATGTCAGTATTTGAACCTAGGAGAGTTTCAACTAAAACTTCTTCATCGCCATTTAATAATTGACAAGATGAGCTCACGTCTAATGCATTCGTAATATTTTCAAAAAGACGATCTCGTTCAATCATTAGACCTGAACATTCCAAAAGGGCATGTTTTGTGACATCTCTGTATTCACCCTGACATAATGTACATTTAACAGTGACTGGGTGATCTTCAATTAGTGCAAGTTGAAGAAGACTTGCCAAAGGCCACAATAAACCTGGGTATTGTTTTCCTAGCAGATAATGTATACTTGGTTCTAATTGTGTGTGGATATTTGCAAATCTTTTGAGCCGAACATCTTCGTGAACCTGACTTTGATACAACTGATTTGCCGACTCTTGGATGTTACATTTAATTCTAAATTTCCACATATCTTTGGGTACTTTTTGACCATGACTGATGAACCTTTCAAAGTCTTCCAATAAATACGGGTATTTACTCAAAATGTTTTGAATATCTGGAATGAAACCATCAGATTTCCTTGAACATGACATCCTCACAATATAACTGCTAATTCTTGATATAAATATATGTCTCTGCACAGATTTTTCAGATGAATTAATCAGTCTGTTTAAAAATAAGAGCTTTGTTTTTTCAATATATTGTTCCATTGTTATTAGGCCAAGCGCCCCGATAGCTGCAACTGATGGTGTTTTCCATGGAAGGCCCTGAGCACGCTTGGCAAAATATCTCTGGACTCTCTCAATTTCTAGCTTTTGAGATTTGATGATATTACCCCAAAGCTCACACCCATAGAATGCTGAAGGAAGTATTACTTTATTCCATATGTTGACAGAACAAATAGGATTCAAACCACCATGTCGTATACCAATTCCACACAATGAGTTGAAGATTTGTTTTGTCTTAACACAAGATATATGGACAGCATCATTTGGCGTAAGCTTTGTGTTCAACGTATTTCCAACATAAGTCACTTGATTGACAACGGGTATTGCTTCTTGACCTAATTTAAATGTGTTTTGTAGCATTTCGGGCACATTGTTTTTACTATTAAAAACAATAACTGAACTTTTGTTGCTAGACCCAGCATGATACACAAGACGCCACTTTTGGCTAAAATCAAAGACAACATTAAGTAGGCTCTGTAAGCCATCTACAGTGGGTGACAAAATGGTAGTATCATCGGCAACTAGAATTACAGGGATTTTTGCATCATTAATACTTAAACCACAATTCATTGCATGTATCTCATCTATCAAGTCGTTTATGTAAACTAGAAACCAAAAAGCAGAACAAACACGACCTTGTCCTACTCCTTGGTGTACAGAGAACTCCCGAGATGTCGTTTTACCATACATAACCTTTGCTTTTGTGTTACTATAGCTATCGACGATCAAACGCCATAATTTTCCACATATACCGGCCCGATAGAGCTTGACAAAAAGCCCCACCCTGTAGACAAGATCAAATGCCATTTTATTATCAAGAAACGCTGCATACACTTTAGAGCCTCTTTCAGTATAATGAGTGACAGATTCTTTTAAAACAAATGTAGCCATCTGGCTACCACTCCCTTCTGAGTAAGCAAACTGTAATTTGTTTGGTATGTGTCGCGATGCAAACCAGGATTTGGTCCGTTTTAACACTGTTTTGTCCCATAGCTTATTTATTATTGGTGTTAAAGACAGACCTCTATAACTGGTTTTCTTCAACTGTGGCTTACCTTTACCCTTATAGAGTGATAGCATTATGGCCAGTTTATGAGAATCTGGAACCTTTTCAATTCTTATAATAGCATTTAACAATTCAGAAATAATCTTAAAAACAATTTCCCCTCCATATTTTACATGTTCATATGTCACGCCATCATGACCAGAGGCTTTGTTATTTGGACATGAATTCACAATTGTCTTTATTTCACTATGCGTTATGTTTTCTTTCAGAAATACATTTTCATGTTCAAACGTATCTTTCAAGTTACGTAACATTTCCTGTTCAATTTCATTCTTGAATGCATCATCAAAGTGATCATAACTACAGGGTGTTCCAAGTTCCTCAAAGTGATCAGCCCAAGCGCTGCATATGTCAATTGGATTTCTCAGGATTTGACCATTATGTTCAATTTCATGTCTATTATTATCTTTTAATAGCCTTGAATTTCTTACTACTTTATAAAAATACCCAATGTCGACATCTGCAGCGTTTTCGAGTTGAGCATTTTGTTCCCGTTCGTATGAGAATTTCGCTCTACGAAGTTCCCTTTGAAAATTACGCTTTCGTTCTTTATATTTCATATAATATGGACATGTATTTGACTTCACCTTATTAGCATTTAAAATCCAGTCTATTCGAGCTGATTTCATTGCTTTGTGTAGTGTTTTCACATCACCGTACTTCCAGAATGGATTCAGAAAACTATGAAACTTGCCAGTAGGAATTGTTTCCCTGGCACATTGTATTAAGCTTTCCATCAGCTCATTAGACTTGCTCTCTAAATCTTTAACATTATTCACTTGTTCAAATTTCGTTAATTTGATTTTTGACTTAACTTTGGCTTTATATGATTCAATGTCACCAGAAGTAGCCTTATTCCACTTTAATAATTCTGGTCCATTTAACCAATCCAAATCTTTAAATGTATCCACATTAAACGTCATCCTTATTGGATGGTGGTTAGATAGTATTAACTCATGATCGTTGATGACAGTGCATGATTTTACAAGATCAAATTGTGTTTGTGGAACCATTATATAATCAATGCAGGTTTTGTTTTTACCATCAGAACTTTCGTATGTATAAAGTGGTCCCTGCGTGATTGTATCACAATTCACAGCTTTAAGTTGACATTCTTGTAAAAATCGTTCAACATGTTTACCACGGTCAGTTGGAGTTGTGATTCTGCATTTGTTACCAACGTTCATTGAGCACTGGCCATTGAAATCACCCATAACCATGACTTGACCTTTACTTTCGTATTCATCATGTAAATCTTTTAAATCAGACAAATAATCAGTATATTCATTAATAGGTGAATTTGTACTTGGCATATATACACCTATAACAAAAAGTTTAGTGTCATGGTTGACGTTTATTTCAACAGCACATATGCGATCGTTGTTTGTCTCAAGGTTCCTAACTTTTAAGGATTTTCTATACAAAATTGCGACTCCGCCTTGACCTCTTTTACGTTTTGGATCATCGAGAATAAGATGTTTATCAACAACAGCATTGTAATTAAAATTCGAATCAATAGTATTCAAATAACTTAAATTGTCATAATATAACCAGTGTTCAGATAAAACACATATATCGGTTTTATTGAGCATCTTGCATAAGTATGGTGTGCCATACATGACACCCTGTACATTCCAATTGGTAAACACTAGAGATGTTGACTTATACATTCGTGTATTAAAATCACACAGCAAAAATGCAACAATTATAACATAAAGTTCAATAGTCAATATGAGGAAACTTGTCATCTTCTGGTTCATGTTGAGATCGTTGAGATTCAGAGACCCATGGCCTACATGTAATGTTACTTGGCCAAAATTCTGGTTCCATAACACGTGAGCAATGCTTAGCGAGTACATTTACTCTAAGGGTATACCACTCACCCCTATCATTGCTGTGTGTCTTAAGTCCTCTCACAAATGTTACAGTCACATTTCGTTCTGCAGCATATGCTACAATGTTTTCTCTGACCTGTTTAAAGGTCTGATAAGGAGATTTCTTAACACGGGCTAAGACTACACGCTTAATCCTGGGTCTGCTCGCAATATCAAAGCCCTCTAAGCCATGATCCCTATCAGGCCAATCTCCAATCGACTCATCATAACCTTGCAGCTTATCTTGTTGATCAATCCTTTGTGAAACTACTGTGGAGATGCGACGCTGTGTAGGACTGGTATATTTAACAGGCTCCTGTTGGTGATCATTCGGTTTAGTTGGACCAGTAACAGCAGCTGTGTGGTCGTGACATGATCCCTGCGTCGATAAATCCTTATTGATGGATTTAAAGTGAAACCTAGAAGCTGTTTCGTCTGGTCGTTTAACAGGTAAGCTTGGATTTCGATTAGACATATCCTGTTCGCAGGGATTCGGATTATTCTGAAATGGAGGCGTTGGAGCTGATGATGCACGGGATCGATGTCGAGCAACACTTGTAGTATCAATGTTCACTTGATTATCTGTTGAGAGAGAGTGTGTTTTTCGCTCTCGTCCGTTTGCATCAGGATTCATTTCCTGAAGTAAATGATCACTCATGGTTTTATCAGCTTCTTTATCAATACTGTGCTTCACTATATCAGAATACGCTTCAGCTTTAATTACCTTTGTGACCTGACTATTTAGATTGAAAAGTTTTCCATCAATACTATCCATCTTGTTAGATAATTTGTCGACCACGGTCTTCAATGCAGCATTTTGCTTTCTGTAGAAGCTATCATTGTCTTGAAGTTCCTGCTTGTTCAGTTTTAACTCTGACCGAAGTTTCAGGTTAACGTCAGTTAGAGATTCGTGTTTCTCTTTCAGTTTGTCATTTTCTCTTCTCAGTGTATCATTTTGTGTCTTCAGTGAAAGATAGGATTTATCTAGAGATTCCAACTTCTGATTTACGTTAACAATCATCTCTTTCATCGTGATGATATGAACGAGAACGTTTTCAGAAACATCGTTACGTAATGGTATTGATGTATCATTTAGCCCGTCAGTTGAATTTGTAGCACTTGTTCTTTGTTGAGGAGGTTCACGTATGTCTCCCTGTTTAGTTTTGTCGTGTTGTCGTTTTGTGGCATTTAATATTGATTTCATTTCTGGTATATTGGGAGCCCCTGATATAAAATGGTATAGCGTATATATGTCCCAAGCTAATTTATTTCCAAGAGAGTTTGCATTGTTTTTATTGACGCTTCCTCTGCGAGGTGGTTGTCTTGTAATCAGGACGCCAGGTGGTATGTCATTTGGTCTATTAATACGTGCAATGTCGTAGAACGAATCTCTAATTCCATTTAAGCCTTCGACTGATTGCTGTTCCAATAGTTTGGCTTTGAAGTCCTCTTCATTATCATTTCCACACAAATCTTTTACAAACTCAAAGATTTGATTTTCAGTTTGTGTTGCAATAGGCTCGGCATAACTTTCATCAGAATCTGACTCCATGTCACCGTAATTCAAAGAATATTGTCAGCAATAAAGGACAATAATCGCAGTATTAGTAAAGATGTCGCCGTAGTTCATCAGATGTATAAATCATATCAATAGCGTCAGTAATCACATCCAAAGAAAGATGGCGCTTGTGCAGCTTTCAAATTGTTGGCCATGGTATGAACTGTTCGAATTCAGCGAGGACAAGTAGCATAATAAGTCTATTCCACTGGCCCAGACGAATATTTCGGCATGACCCGTGTATCTCTATACGAATTAGTCCATTACACAGACCATATACAGTATATACAATGGCGTCCAGAAAAGCTGAGATTATTGAGTGAAAAATCAAATTACCGTCTTTCCTGTTGTTCTACATATCATATCGACTATCCATCATGATCTCGACAGTTTCCGATTTAATGTGTGATATATCCATTGAGTCCTAGTACAGGTATATTATAGATATTTCACAAAATTGTAGAGCAAAAAGTAAAAGTTTTCCAACTTCACGCATGCGCACCTTTATACATGAATATTTTGACAGTCAAGTTACAAACATCCAACGTCTGTAGCAGTGTGACGTCTTGCCCATGACTGAACGATAGATCTTGCAATCTTTACTGTTTAGTGCTCTTGCACCTGTGACCAATCTAAATGTTGTTTTTTTTTTTTGGTTTTTTTAGCAAAACTTACAAACCCTCTATCCTTACATTAATAAAAAGGATATTTGATATGCCAAGCAAATCTGTATAACAATTACTTATCTTATTCATTGCGATAGCTGAACCCTCTTTGTTTAGCGTTCCCGCAATCCAAACATTGGTCCTTAGCGTTGACTTCTTATGAACCAGCGCACCTCTCGGATAACGTCGCATCGTTCGATGTTACTGAAACTCAAACGATTACATGGTCACTTTTCGGGTTTACATGTATAATATCGTTTCAATCGTTTATGCAGAGCATTTTGATACGTGGTCGATTACTCTAACCAATCAACAATCTTTTCTATCTAAGGAACACCTTACGAAATTGTAAACTACTTCTTACCCTTGCCAAATCGCTGGTTTTCTTACTGCATGTAAGACGAGTATCAATCCCAATGTAGAAACACATTGACGGTATTGCAATATATGCATCCTCTGTTCATCGTGTATAGGTATCAATATATGCATATAACAAGGGCTAAATGATAAAAACCGAATGCACCCATAAGAGTCGCATCTAGCTAAAACTGTGTATAAACGCTTCGGTTGCTGCTCGCAGAATAACACGATCCCATCGTGCATCTACTCACATAACCTACTCATGATCTCCTCATGTTATCCAATCAGTTGAAATCGCGTTCGATTTCACTAACGTTACGACGTTATATCAACCGGAAATAAAATAATTCAACTCTAATTTCAAACGTGTTGAATTTTAATTCTTTACTGTATTTATGGCTTCATCTAATCTTGCAATATGAGACAAAGCTTATACATAACTGAAGGTAATCATGTGGGTGCAGACCTAATGATCACGTAAGATCGATACAAAAACTATTGTTTTCCTTCATACCAGTCGCCGTTTTGAGGAGATCGGAATAACTGGGTTCTATCCCCGTCTCCCTATAAGCACCCCCCCCCCCCGAGTATCACCACCCATGAGCGTCAATTCAAAATGCAAAGTGAAAACATATACAAAGCCAATATGTCTACATGGAATGCAATTTACGTACTGCATCCTAAGCTGTAATCGAACACAGAACAGAGGAACAATAATCATGAAGACCCATCAACTTGATAAACAATGGCATATCATGCATTTCTCAGCCATTGACAATTGACATCCCATTGATAGGCGAACGTCATGACCATGCATTGCGCATGCACTGACAAAGGATGTGTGGCAAAACTGCCCTAATTCACGTCACCATACTAGTCAATGGGCAAAAGGGCAAACGCCTGACTTTTTATCTAGTGTTATGGATTTATGTGGCCTCACTGGCCTATCTGAGGTTCTAAAGCTATGTCTAAGCTACATTTTGACACTAAACTCAATAGGGGCCAAACATCTACTTTTTGAAATAATTGGTCAATTGTGACACTACCCCCCCCCCCCCCCCCCTCTCTCTCTCTCTCTCTCTCTCTCTGCCGACAGAAATTGAAATTCACAAAAATGAAGGCAACATTTATACGCCATTTGACTCGAAATTTTCCTTCAGATAACCCAAATAAACGCATTTTCAGAAGAAATGACAACTGTACCTACATACTAGCTTACTGCGTCATGATCACAATTGTGTTGGGACTACATTCATTTTTCAGCGGAAGTGACGCATTAGGGCAGTTTGGCCAGTATTGGCTTCCAGGTTTCCAACCCGATATTTTCAATACCCAAGCAGTTTGTTCAGTGTTAATTTCTCCGGTAAAGTTCGCACGAATGAACTGCAAGGAGAATGTCTGATATTCTAGTGACCTTGACCGATATCCACGACAGCATTGAATATGTCGTTTTATTATATCACTATCTAGCTAGCGACAGTATGATTGGTCAAAACCGGGTCACGTGTCGTGGGATATCTGGCGATATTCAATAGCAATGCTAATCAGATAAGACAACCGTGAGATATCTAGCGTTATTATATCACTATCTAGCTAGCGATAGTATGATTGGTCAAAACCGGGTCACATGTCGTGGGATATCTGGCGATATTCAATGGCAATGCTAATCAGATAAGACAACCGTGAGATATCTAGCGATATCCCACGCTCCCGGGAATTTTCAAAGAATTTGTTTTCGTTCAGTGTAAATAATTAAGTTCAGCGTAAGTCAAAATGGCAGACGAACCGAGTAGATTCGTAAAAATATCTGAAGACTTAATGACTTAATAATATTAGGGATGTTTAGCGAGACGGTGATATAATAAAACAAATATTTCACTCTATTTTCGGTGAATACCTGTAGCACTTTCACAAGGTGATATTCCACTTGCCCTTCGGGCTTCGTGGAATATCACTTGTGAAAGATGTACAGGTATTCACCTCAATAGAGTGAAATATTTGTTCAATATCCCACGCTCCCGGGAATTTTCAAAGAATTTGTTTTCGTTCAGTGTAAATAATTTAGTTCAGTGTAAGTCAAAATGGCAGACGAACCGAGTAGATTCGTAAAAATATCTGAAGACGAAAAGTTGATGTTATTAGAGAGTGTACATGCAGACAATACTTAATAATATTAGGGGTGTTTAGCTAGACAGTGATATAATAAAACAAATATTTCACTCTATTTTCGGTGAATACCTGTAGCACCCTCAAGGTGATATTCCACTTGCCCTTCGGGCTTCGTGGAATATCACTTGTGAAAGATGTTCAGGTATTCACCGAAAATAGAGTGAAATATTTGTTCAATATTCTCCTTGTATTTGTGCGAATTTGATATTACATCCTGTGCAATAGTCATTGAGACAATATTAATTGAGAAATAAGTTAATACCTAGTTCTTTTCTATAAGGTTCGTGTCTCTATCGTTAATCGATCATTATGAGTCAAAGGGCAGTTTCTGTCCTGAAATACCATTGACCTACCTTGATTCTCGCCAGCTACATGTAGTTACACTACAGAATAGATTGTTATTGCGATCACACTAATCTCAAATGGATCATTCTTGAATTTCTAGCTTGATATTCTTTCATTGAAGATGATGTATGCATTTAGTTAAAAAAGTATCCCCAATTATATATATGATTAAAACATTTAGACAAAGTCGAGCTGTTTTAACAGGAAGCATTACTAACATATAGTAAGATATGATATCAAGTTAGGTATTAAATATATGATTGGTGCCATTTAAATGTCCTCTAAGGACACCGTATCTGCTGTGATAACAACCTGCGTAAAAGTAATTGTCCTTAAAACGGATAACTCGGACGGATAATGTGCCCCTTTTATATGGGGTGACCTGGCCTAGTTTCCATAATGAACTAATAAGGAAATGAGTTAGAATTACGTGAATACATGAAACAATAAGTTATATCTGACCATAATTACATTTACATTCGGTGTAATAAGTCTAATGGGGAATTGGGTCCTGCTTCTGAAACTGATAACTTCGTTGTTCTGACAGATCAAGCATGAAAAGGGGATGTAGATCAAAGATATTTGGGTCCTTTATCATAAATATCCTTGAACGAAGCTCTAGCGTCCATTAAGATAAGCACTGAGAGTGATATCGATATGTTATATTATCATTTATGATGATAAAATACGTGACAAGACTGCAAATAATGTTCAATACGGCAGATAAAGAAAAATAAAACTCTTACATCAATAAATCAAACCTCCCTAGGATATATTTTTATCCGAAAGACATCGCTAGCTTTGTCCTGTTTGACAGCTATATCGTGTCAACAGTCCATACGAAAATATATCTATATTTGTGCTGATGAAAGATGCCATTACTGCTATTCACGGTGATATTTTTGAGTTATATAATAATCTAATCAAATATTAGTTACGAATTAACGCTTGATTGATCGTCATGACCATTTGGGCCCGATGGTCTACTTGAGCACTTGAGAATACGATCTATCCATATCATTTTATATAAAATGCATTTCAAAGATCAGTCCAAATTGCACAGTGAGTGTAGGAAATTGAGTTATTCGGAAAATCAGTATTTGAGTAATTGGTGCATGACTGTGGCTGATTTGTGATTCAGCAGGAAGAAGAATGCTGAGACAGCTTGTATTGGCCTATTAGCCCTCCCGTTAAACTGCTGCCATGTCAACAGTTTCGTTCAGAGCCGTATAACAGGTTATTACGGCAAACCAATTCGTTTAGAGCTCATAAGTTGCTAGATTGCATTTTAATTAGTTTAGAGCTTTCGCTCTAAGATTAAATTATCTGATTAGGAAAAGTGTGTGGTATTAACTTTGCATATTAGGCTACTACTAACGCACTTTTCGAAACAACGTATCAACTACAGACTGAATAGATTCCATTGTAGGATTAGAGATGTTTTGATTAATTGGATTCAAGAAGTATATTGACTGAAGACGTGGGGTATCGGATTGAATGTTTGTAATGTAGATTAGTTTATGGTACAGTAGACATAGTGCTTATGATAGAGTATTTTTGTAAATAAAACACTATATCAAAACCTTCTTCACATCTTTCGAGTATTCAACGAAGCATATCCAATGATGGCACAACGAGGTTTGATGGCTTTGCTTATATTGAATAATTCATGGATCATAGTTCAGGTATAGATATCCATTAATTAAAAGGGAAATGCTGTGACTTTAACTAATTTATGAATTGCAAATCGTTCAGGTGTCATTTTTAAGGAGATTGATTATTTATACAAGAAGTAAAACGAAAGTTTTTTCTCAAGCCACATAATAATTTGCAGTCATGACGCAATGCCAGTGTCACAGCTAGGGAAACTATAAGCTGAAATCAATTTAAATTTACATTGACGAAATCAGAATACATTTTCCTAAGGATAACAAACATTTAGATGCAAATCATGTCGAATCCAACTGATTGATCAGTATTTTGATATCAATTTCACCAACAGCAGAAATATCAAATTAATCCTGTTATTGGCAGAAAACTAATCGAAGTTGATGAATTTGTTCTGGTTAGAACTTTAGTTTGGTCTTTTGGATTCCAATTAAAGGGGTATCGTAACATATGTTAACAAATAGGATCGGCTACATTATACTTACAAGAAGAGTATTGTATTACCTTTTGACGTATTTACTTTATTGATCCTATTGTAAATGATGCTATCTGACACGACACAAGAGCCCTCTCCTTAAATAAATCAAACGTAAGAACAAAATAGTCACCCGATAAGTATGGCAGGTGTAGTAAGTCAAATGTTCCAATAATCATTTATTTCTAGACAAAGTCTTGAACAAACAAACAAATTCATCATGGTGTAGATATAACCAGTGGTTTTATTTTACTTTCAGGTGAGCGTGTGTGTATATCGTTAACTGAGCTATCGCCACAAAATCGAGAACAACATACGAGTCTACATTCGCTGAGGCCTTAGAAGGAAAACTAACGAGAAATGTTCTGATAATTAACTGTCTGAATAGTTGGAAAATGTATAATAGCATGGAACTAATATAGAATACAAAAAATCTACAAATTAGCTAACTAGGAAGTACAATGAGCTCGACAGAATCTATTTTATTGATACCAGGCTGGATTAGGTGTAAATCTCTTGCGATTTAATTAGTCAAATTGTAAAACACTATTCCGCTTTTATGTCGCTTATCTCCAGGGAGTTCAGAAGAATAGTCTGCCAATAATATAAAGCGTTGACGCCGATATTAAAAAGGTATTCTTGATCAATGATTCATTGAGATCGTCATTCTGAGCTCAGAGGCTTTGAGGATGCATTAGTGAGAGCACCATGGAGGGTGAAAAACGTTTTCCTACTCTAGGGTATGAAGTTATGTTTCTGACAAACTTATCAGTGGATATATCACCATTAAACGAGAGCTCTAGCTGGTCAGATGGATCGGATATGAACGTTTCTGGGCCATGGGGGCGGGATATTTCAAATCACACAACCGTAGAGTTGGTGTTGACGCCACATAGTCTGCCGCACATAGTAATAACATCCTTAGTATTAGGTTTGATGATTTTAGCGACAATTATAGGAAATGTATTTGTGATAGCAGCAATAGCGTTGGAGAGGAGTCTTCAGGGGGTTGCTAATTACCTAGTTGCCTCTCTGGCGTTGTGTGATCTCTTAGTCGCTGCACTTGTCATGCCCCTGAGCCTCATTAGCGAGATCAGCTCGGTGTGGTTTCTTGGCGCCCAACTATGTAACATGTACGTGTCGTTCGACGTCCTCTGCTGCACGGCCTCCATCCTCCACCTTGTTTGCATTGCCCTTGATCGCTACTGGGCTGTTACTAGGATCGACTACATGCGAAGTAGGACTGCTAAACGTATGCTTATCATGATACTGATCGTCTGGTTTCTCGCGGTATGTATCACAATACCACCGCATTTTGGACTAAAATCCGAGCAGGACGACCCTGACGTCACGGGTGTATGCATGGTCAGCACGCACCTCGCATATCGTATCTTCGCTACAATAGGTGCGTTTTATCTACCATTGGTTATCATTCTTATCATATACGGTAAAATATTCAAAGCAGCGAAATCTCGAATTCGGAAAAAGTCTTTTAGAGGATACTGTGCGACTCCTAGCACAATACAACAAAACAGCAATGATGTAGACGGAGATGACTTATCGGTAACGGAAATATCGCCGACATGTAACATCAGCGATAGTCCGGAGAGAACATGTGCCGATATGACAAACGGCGATTCCCTAATCGCAGAGAATGGGAGACAATCACGCCAAGGAAGCCCAATAAAATACACGAACGATCACCAATTACAAACTAATGGAAATAGTCTCATTCCTTTAAATAATGGTTATGACAGAAATTACAACAATAAAAAGAAATTGTCAAATGCTTTCCTACGAGTTGATACAGTGATAAATACCAGAAAACGAAGGCAAAAACAGAAAGTTAAATCTGAACGTTTGGAAATAAAACGTGAAAGAAAAGCAGCTCGAACGCTAGCGATTGTGACTGGCGCATTTATCGTGTGTTGGCTACCATTTTTTATTGGCGAGCTAGTTTCGCCGTTTTGTTCAACTTGTAACATTCCTCCAGTGGTGCTGAGTATCATCATGTGGCTGGGGTATTTAAACAGTCTTCTAAACCCAGTAATTTACACAGTGTTTAATCCAGACTTTAGAAAAGCTTTTAAGAAAATATTGTTTGGAAAGTATGGGAAGGCAAAAGTCCGAGGTCGGGGCTGCCAGAGAACGTCTGTTTCAATGCTAAGTCCAAGCTATCAACGAAATTAACGATAATTGCTTTGGGATCTCCAGATCAATCTTAGCCTATTGCAAAAGATTAGGCATCGGTGATAAGAATGCACGAATGGGTGATTTTATTACTAAATTACCCATGATGCCATTGTGCATGCACGCCCACATGTTCAAGTCCATTAGCCAGATAAGTCATTCGAAATGCATAGTAAGTTAGCGGACACACTTTTGTACACTTAATTGTTATTTTTACAACGGGAAAAATGTAATTTACTTTTTATTTCATTGTATATATACCAACTTTTTATGAGGTCCCGATTTGTGGATTTTATGAAAAATTACTATTTAGTTAGACAATAAAATTCCCATTTAGTGCTGATTTACATGAGTTGAAAATCCATAGAGTGCTGATAAGTTAAAATACAGTTTTTATAGGTATTTTGAACTGAACGAAAAATATTCACATGAAATCATTTTATTCTACCTAATGTTGATAGCCAAGCAAAGAGTTTATTTCCTAGCAAAAACTGGACAATGTTGTATCGCCAACCGAAATAGCTGTGACACATCTCCATTTACAAAATTACGGTTAATTAGGGTCACTATTTTTACTGAAATGATCAGTTATATTCCGCAGTAATGCAAACAAAGCCAGTGCCACTGATAAGATCACTTGAATAGGGTGTCAATATGAGAGTTCCTTTTTGCAAGTCGCTATTTTGCTAATCTATATAATGACGAAAATTGACGTATTGGCTAATATTGCATGACCCGTGCTATGGCTATTGCATTACCCGTGCTAATGTAACATTTGGGTACTAGCCAAACAAATACGGTCCTCTCCCTGACGACTGATTAACAAATTGTACTTCTTACTCTTTATTTATATTTTATACTTATTAGGACCAGAGGAAAGACATTTATTTCACACTGGATTTAAACAAATTCGATGGTCCACTCCTACGGGGATTACTTTATCCCTGTATATGGAGCATTATATAATTAAATGGGAAACACTTGGATTGTCAGAGCTTTATAATCTGTTAATACAAATACAATATATAGAAACGTCGGAGAGTGATTATCACATTCAACTAGAAAAGATCATAGTCCAGAGACTAATCATTTCAACAACCAATTTCTTATTCTATTTTTAATTACATAATCCAAATAATCGTCTCGATTTCTGATCACTCGTCAAGCTAGCAGATTTGAGCTGTAATGCCTTTCAACGGTCCAGTAAAGTCATAGAATCTGATTGAATGGACGGATCAGGCAATCAAGCTTATTACATGGTGCAATTAACCATATCAATTTCTGGATTTCGCCTTTCATTCGAGCCGCTGTTGAGAATGATGTTGCGTTATCAACTTTTATCTCCACAGCACACTTAACACCAAGCACTTAGCGCAGATTGCTTTAACATCGCATCTTCTTAAATGTTAAATAGACCTTCAGAATGCCTGCTTTTTACACGTGTCAGTCTTTAATTCGCAACAGAATTTGACTTGAACATTTTTTATTTATTTGGTTTTAATCACATTGTATAATATGCAGTACTTTCCTTTTTGTAAAATTAGATGTTTTTCCTTGGGGATTTCTGGTCTGGAAAAAGAATAGTTAAACTAGTTAAAGTATCTCTCTTAGGATTCTAGGCAGAGAAGAGACACACGCCTATAAGAGTCGGTTTCAACTAATTATGAGTGTGCCTTTTTGCGCTATATTGCATCGACGAATACACACCGGAATAGCCTGACAACGGTAAGGTCATATACCGTTGTAACAAATGACGGACATAACCGCCGCTTCAAATCTTCAATCACTCGGTCGTCGTTTCATGGGACTTTATCGTCGCTAATTCTGTGCATGTATTAAGCTCTTGTGATAATGTATCATATGAAATCCCAATTTCGATCAAACAAATTGTATAGCGTCTTCGATATCGTCAGTGACAACGGAATCTGAATTTTGGATGATTTAAAAAGACAACGGCATATGGTAAATTATTTAAAATTCAGATTCAGTCGTCATTGACGATATCGAAGACTCTATATTGTGGCGATTCACGACCCAATTTGATCAAAATTGGGATTTCATATGATACAAGAGCTTAATACATGCACAAAATTAGCGACGATCAAGTCCCATGAAACGAGGACCGAGTAATTGAAGAGTTGAAGCGACGGTTATGTCCGCCATTTATGACAACGGTATCCGATTTCACCGTTGTCAGGCTATTCCGATGTGGAATAGTCAATTGAGTTCATTTATGTGATTATATTAAACGAATCATATAAAATAAATTGTAAATCAATTCGCAATTGCAAATCAAATACAATTTGTGCTAATCAGGTTGAATAAACTACTATGATTATGTTTAGCCATTTTTGGATATACACCATTCTTCTAAAGAACGCTGATTGCAATTAATGTATTTCACGATCATAGAGATGTGAAGCCTTTCATTGTAATTCACTGAATTAAAGAACATATCTTTATTAATGATCACTAGCACTTTCAAGACGCGTGTGAAGTCTAGATGTACAATAAACAGGGACAGAACACCTCGATTGAAGGTGATCTTGAAATGCTTCTAATGGAGGACTACCGCAGATATGTAGTGTACATGACTGATGCGTTACAAATACGTCATAATAGTAGGGAGTGTAACGAGCTGTGAAGACATAACGCGTACGGGACAAATGCATGTTTCTTATATACTTCATAAAGGACAGCACAATTTATGTAAAGGTACCCAATGTGATTTCGGATGACTTAATGGAATTACGACTTAATTGTAGTTCACTTCGAATGTACGTGACTAAAAGAATCCAAATGAAAGTGACTGATGTGCAATTATCTCGACGTAAGAACAAATGAAACATTCAACTTCAACATAAGATCAAATGGACGTATATAACTGTATACAAAGGCCGATCTAGAAGTTCTGATAAAACGCTATATCTTCTTTTTGTACAAATGCTGTATTTTGTATCTTAGGTAGATAGTACTAGATACACTGTATATTTTATTAATGAATAATAATATTTAAACATGTACATGCGGATACTTGATTTAATAATTGTAATAAATGGACTTGTCATGCTGCAATAAAAAATAAAAATGTATGTATGATGTTTACCAATTTGATAGGAATATTAATTTCTCAAATAATGTGAATCAAATGAAACGCGATAATTCAGAATCCACTCCGGTAAGTTACTTTGTCTCCCAATTTAGATCTTAAAATACATCATAGACAGAAAAATTAGAACAACCTAAATGTGACATAATTCACCATTTACAGATTTGGATAGAAACCACCTTTCCAAACATTTAGGCTAATTATCCCAACGAACGAAGTTCGTTAGGGATATAGTGAAGCCCTCCGTCCGTCCGTCTGTCCGTCAGTCTGTCAGTCCGTCAGTCAGTCAGTCCGTCTGTCTGTCCGGAAGATAACTTAAATACTAGTTGAATTTTTTTCAAGATGGCCGCCGCTTTAAAAATGACGGGACTTTTTCGCAAAAATCATAAATTTTTCATTCTAAACCAAAGTAATTAATATTATTGTTTGAAATTTTGGTAGTGTATTCACAACATTTATCTATTTCACATATATTCCGTGTTTTTCATCCTGACCCCCAGGGGCCATGTATGGGGGGACAGGAAAACAGAAATTTTCGCTAATTTTTAGATCTTTCTGAAGTATAGCTTTATTATACTCAAATGAAAGGCAATTAAGAGAAGATTGCAAATATTGTATATTTTTTCTGATTCGAGCCTCGTAAAATTCAAAATGGCCGTCTAATGTACAATTTCGCAATACTTTTTCGATCCCTTCAAAGTATGGCTATATTATACTCAAATTGAAGGAATTTTGGAGTAGATCACAATTATGGTATTATTTTTCAGATTTGTACCTCAGAAAATTCAAAATGGCTGCTTTGCAGGAATTCGCAATTCTAAAATCTATTTTTTTCATTTTCAACCAAAGTAATGAGTATAATTGATTGGAATTTGGTAATTGATATTTTGTTCGTTGGGATTTGCTACTCCGCGGAGTTGCCGTTATCTAGTTATACTGTTGAAAATATTTGAAAAATGGCTTACGCACTGCATAAACTAAACTTTTTTCGAACTTTGATAAATAATTCAGTAATCACAAAATTGTATCTGTTTCTGGTGTTAATTAAGAATGTTGGATTCATGTAATTTAAAGTCAGAGATAGAGACCAGACCCCTTTAACTGCTCAGACGCTGTTCTGGTGAACTCTTTTTAACCATCATAGGTGAGATATTTCTTTGTATACTATTGTTCCGATAAGTATTGTAAACATAAGAATGAAAGAGTGATCTCTTAATACAGAACTCTAAAATTAGCCAATTGTACTTTTTATTATTGAACGACTACTATATACGAATCTTCTTTTCTGAAAATGTCGAAGCTCGAAAATTGTGTGAGAAGTTTTTCGATGGAAGTAAATTGGGTAAATTAGTTAAAAGTAAATGAAATAAGTTTATATGAAGGTATCGATATTTGCAAATAATAACATTGCACGAGTTTTAACTCGAATTGGAAGCCATATTTTAGGATCATCCTTATATTGAATATTCGCATAACAAATAAATTAATATAAAATATATATAATCCTGTTGTTTAGCTCACGAACAAGTAAATCTAAATGAGTCGTCCATAAATCACTGTTCCACAACTAGTTACTTTGATGGAACGTCAAAAATGTATGAACTTGGCACAAAGCTTGAAAATATAGTCTTGCTTTAATAAGTTTCTTCTATTTGAAATTTGTTTTGTTAATGAAGTTGCAATTCATAAAATTAGCCCCTCGCTTTTGTTACATTGACGAAAGTTCATTATATTACCAATATATGTTACTTTGACGACTTACGTCAATGTAACAAAAGTGATGGTCTAAATGCATGAATTACAGCTTTATTGAAGTCAAATTCCAAACCGAGAGCATTTCTAAAAGCTAGACTATATTGTCTAACTTTGTGCAAAATGATAATACGCAACTTGACTTATAAGTAGGTTTAAATCGAGAAAACAAAAAAAACACGTATCCTGGAAGTTCATCCATTTTGTTACATTGACCTTCCGTCAAAGTAAATAGTTGTGGAACAGTGTAAATGCAATCTCACTTTCCTTCCACTGCCTGAAATATTTACAAACGTCTTGCTTTTGTAGAAACTGTCCAATGTTACTCCTTATGTCACTTGAAAAGAGTTCTTGGCATCGCTTGAAACGTTGCATTACCAGATTTTCAGTTGTCACAAGTCTTCTTAAAGACGAACACGTAAACACCTACAGTATAACAGATCAACAAGCATTTATTCCACGACCATATCTGCCATCTTTATATACAATGTAGTAGCATAAGCCTGTCCCACACATTGATTGTGTGATTTGTAATATTATCCGAAGTATGCTTTCAAAATGTAGGTCAATAACCCATTGTCAATTTGACAGATATGCAACTATATTTCTATATTCGAATTCCATGGATATCTGTCTAATTAAGTTAATTAATAATTTGCGATTCCTATGTCAGCCAGAGAGAAACCAAACGGGTATCCCAAAGAAGGATTTGGCGACGACGACACAGAAAACAACAACGAAAATTATGAATCCAACAGTGGTGATAATGGAGAAGATGCTTAGACAGAGGGCTATTTTCCCCTTGTTAGAAGCAGCCTCAATATCCCCTTCATTGTAATTCGAGTCTGAAACGGCGGCACAAATGACAGCGACCAGTCCTAAGGGGAAATCACAGCAAAGCATCACGAACACTGCCAGGCATAGGTAGTTAGGAGGTTTCTTCTGATCCTGCCCACCAGCCTGGACCACCACAACATGGGGTTGGGCAGCTGGTTGCATCTGGATTGCCTGCATCCTGAAATGTGTTGCCGGGGAAAACACTGTTTGGTAAGATCGTCTGCAAACAAACCACAATTAGTCAAAATCACTTTATTTTATCAGTCAATCAAACCGAAAACAAGTCTAGCTAGCTTATAGAAATAAGAATCAAAGGACCAAAAAGAAGTATTGTTTAAAAATACGTTTATATATCTGTTATATATTTCGGATTCCTTATCGTTTTGATAACAACATGTAAAAAGATGGCATGTATCGTTGAATAAATAATGTATTAAATTACAAGGACCATAGGTTCATAACTATTCTGAATTATAGATAGGCCTAAATTTTTTGAAGTAAGGTAACAGAGTTCTAAAAGTGTGACTGAAAAAAGTTAAAAGTTGCGTTTCGAAAAGTTCACGGGACAGAATATTTTGAATTTCAGTAGGCTGAAAAGCAATTTCATCATGTTTAGAGACATTTTGACCATGATCATTGAGATCCTGGCCATGTATAATTAATGATATATGGGAGTAGTACAACTGACTGAAGATCAAAGCAGAACTCTGTTATCTTACTTCAAAAAATTCTAAAATCCCCATGTTTTTTTCATTTCCTTTTTGGTATAAATTTCTGATAACTACCCCGAGACCTTAGTCCTGAAATTGTAAATCTACAAAACATTATATTCCAGCATTTTGGTACAGTTTTTAAAACAGTTGTTTTTTGTTTCCTATTTTGGTAATTCTCTTTGATTTGCAACAACTGTGTTAAACTCTGTTAAGCATGATAAAAGGCAAGAAGTTTAGTTAGAAATAAAAGAGTTATCTCATGAATGGGACCCTTACATAGCTCCTAAAAGGTAGAAGACACTAAATGGTGTAACACTATAAGCTGAATTTTGTCCACATAGAGCATGTGCACAATACTAAAGACATGTAAAATTGAACTGTCAAAAGAACTGAAATATACTTACCAGCTCGTCTTTTCCGGAAGTTATGATACGTTATGGTGTAACTACGGTAATTAATTTTAAAATATTGAAAAAATCACAAAATACAAGTTCTGAGGTATATATCGCCATTTTAAGCGAATTAGCCCATACTATGACTATATATTCGCACCCCCATATACAGATATATATATAAACTTCATCTTCACAATAAATTGAGCTTCTTTCAAATTTCCATTTTTTGAGATAAGTGCCATTTTCTTACAATTCAAGCCGTAAAAATAGTTGGAAAGTGCTTCCCAGTTGAGGTTAATGGCTTTTATACTTACATTAATGTATGGAGCACTTAAAATGTACTTAGAATCGTATAAATAGCTCTATTCTGTGAGATTTATTTTTGTTTTTATTTTTATATTTTTCTCACCTCATAATTGAAGAGCTCCGCTGTCGATTTACATTCAGTTACACTTATTTCCTTGAAAATTCGCCATGATTGGAACAAATGATGGTTGGTTTATGTTTTATTCATTTAGTTTGTATTTGAATCTAGCTACTTAAACACAAAACATGTCTTCATGTTATGCTAAAGAGCAAAGATCGCGAATTCTAGGTGAAGCCAATTATTTTGCACAAGTCATATCCTGATTGCATCATAGTTACTTTGTACTAGTCACATCCTGATTGCATCAGCTAATTCACGTGATTTACAGTTTACACATGGTTTCAATATACATGTTATACTACTTCCGGGTAGGGTAGTGTTTTTTATACTTTAAAAATGAAGCCATTTCGATCAGTTTTTATAATCCTTGGTAGAACTGAGAGGTATTACAATACATATTTAAATTAATACACATGAGTGTATTTGATGAACTCTCAAAAAATAAAACCCACAATAATATCTTTTTTATTCACAATTTCATGTCATTGTTTCTAACAAGTCACCTCTTTCTCTCTTTTCTTTATTTTTGTCAACAGTCAAAATCGGAATTTAAAACTTGGTTTCTTTACAAGCTCTGCTTCTGTAAATACTAAATAACAAGAAAAATGTTAAACCTTACATCCTACACTTATTTGATATGAAATAGGCGATCATTGATATCATTTTTGTGCTGTTAAGTGTGGATCTTTTAATTTTTTAGTCAAACTTGATCGCTGATCTCTGTCGATGTGACGTCACGCATTAAGTATGCACGCATGGGCAGTACAATACATAAGGCAATATGGCGTCTTAGGCCTATACATGAGCCAGAATGGAGGTCTGCAAGTTGAAATGAATATGTTTGTTTATGCATCAATCGATCACACATATAATCCAGACAATCTTTCAAATCATATACTTAACATTGTAATGGATTTATTTATTTTGTGAGCTAACCTTCCCTTTAATTTTCATTGGTGAAGCAATGATTTTACCTAAAATGAGTCCCTGTCTTTGCATAGTGATATTTAAAAATCGAGAAGCAAAACCTATGTTGAATATACTGTGTATTGATGAAGTTTATATATAGCCTAGGGGAACTCAAAAATATTGTTATTATATCGGCAAATTCGCTCGAAAATGGGTGTACACCCTAGAAATTGAATGTTGTTGATTTTTTCAATATTTTAAAATTAATTACCGTAGTTACACCATAATGTATCATAACTTCCGGTAGAGGCGAGCTGGTGAGTATTTTCTATTATTTTGACAGTTCAATTTTACATGTCTTTAGTATTGTGCACATGCTCTATGTGGACAAAATTCAGCTTATAGTGTTACACCATTTAGTGTCTTCTACCTTTTAGGAGCCATGTAAGGGTCCCATTCATGAGATAACTCTTTTATTTCTAACTAAACTTCTTGCCTTTTATCATGCTTAACAGAGAGTAGAGTCCATTTCACTGTTTGATTGCGTCAGTAAAACCTACCCTGCACTTTACCCACATGGTCTAAATTGCAATTTGAATATGTATTGTTACGATCGTTTGAAAATGTTTGAAAAGCACAACTTCAAAAATCCTTCTTACCCCAGTTATGGATGCAGCCAATATTTTGTATTTGGATTCTTCCTGATCGAAAACAAAATCGACGTCAGTGTTTCAGCACATACTAATCAGTTGCGAATCAAAGTTCATATCACAGCACGGGGTCTAATAGTTTAGGGGAGAGTTTATCACAATTTGTAATGCTGTGATCAAAATTGCTCCGATCCTCAACACAGGCGCCCAGTCGATGAGTATTTTGTTCAAACCTGAATACAATTTGAATACAATTTTGAATAAAATACTCATCGGATGGGGGGGGGTGGGCCATGGTACTGAAAGTTGAGCAAATGTAGCCACAGCGTAAACTTTTATTGTGTGCCTTGCTACTCGATTCCAGCAACTGTAATCAAAAGTTGTTGGCAAAGTTCACACTCTATTTATGCCTGGGTAATGCCTTCGTCACATTTGCTCCGATTTTCACTACGGCGCCCGGCCGGTTGAGTATTTTGTTCAAAGTTGAATGCAATATTGAGCAAAACACTCAATCGGCCGGGCGCCGGCCGATGGATCGGAGCAAATGTGACCCAGGCATAAAGCAATCACACCAAAGTATTTCACAAATCGTCAAAGTCGTCCTAAAAAGCTATCCACATTACAATCTCAACCACAGTTCTCACCATCTTTGTCCATCATGCCTCAAAGGAGGAGTACACCCGGGCAAACAAAACCAAAAAACGAGTAAAACTCTAACGAGGACCCACTAGAAACTTTTGGGAAAATCTTTCAGAACTATCTATTTTGTTTTGAACATTTTTAATGACGCAACTCAGACTCAGTTCGATTTGATCTGCCTGTGAACAAGATAAAGGGGTAGCAAACGAACAGCGAATCATCTGTTGGCCGTAAAAGGGAAGTGGTAGGGGTGAAATGTCCTAAAATGCGATTCAATTGGTTACTAAAGACTCTAATATACCTTACTAAAAAACGAGTAGATTTTAATGATAACTTTTATAATTGTCTAGAAATTTGTTTGTCACTTCCTTCAGAACGTTTTGAACGTTTTTGGACGAAATGAAGGTAAACTTATCAGACGAGATGATGATATCAGATTAGTGACTGTGTTGACAAACCGGTATAACCTTTACATGTATCATTGCACAGTGTGCCTTGTATAAGTGTCAAGTGAAACTGGGAAATTTCTGGAAAATATGTACAACTCTGTAATTTTATCGCATCTTTGGAGTCTACCCAAAACAAGGTAAACGCACAAAAGAAAGTTGGCATTGAGTACACTGGGCGAAGTGACCAAATATAAACGATTTTAATCACAAATAATCAGTGAATAAATGATTATTAGCTGGTTAAAACCTATTATCGAGACTATTATTGGTGGTTATCGCTGATTATCAAGACTTATTAATCAACAATAACCAGTGTTTTCACTGGTTATTACGATAATCAATTCTTATTAATGTGTAGCCAATGGCAAAATATTCCAACTGATTATTATGTCAAGTGATTATTCACCCAACTGATTATCGCTTTGTTTTCATTAGCAATTAAGAACCGTCTGCCATTTATGCGTCTGGCGCTTCCAATTATTATCCGTTGAATAAACAAACTATAGCCTTTGTCTAGCTAAAGAATATGAATTTTTGCGAAATTGAATTTTTTATTCAAACATCATTTTTTAAAATTCATTATCAACCAAACAAAAAATAAAAGAAACACATTTTTAGAATTTCATTTAATGTTAGATTTTATTTAGCTGTCCAACTTCAATTACCAGGATTCGAGATTTTTCTTTAGCAATTATCATGCAGCAGATTTCTGCAATTTAATCAATAGTTTATACTAATTAGTACTAGTAATTAAAGAATATCACCAAGAAAATATTTTATCATCGTGTAGAAAGTCGAATCTAAAATCTGGTAAATGTGTTGCATTTATTGAAGCAATTAATAACGTTGTGATACCACTGTAAAACTATAATTAAAATGTTCGATATGAAATTCGATTGTCGGGAATAAGAAATACACATCAATACTTTTACAAAATATCCAGTGTATTGAATGAAATAAGATGTTATAACAAAGGCAATTGAAAAACTTCAATCTCAGTGAAACTAGTAGTGAAACTCCCTAAATCTGTTAAAGGGAAGCCTTCATTCAAGCACTGAAATTTAAGTTTAAGAGGAAGAATTCAGTATCCCGTGTGTTCACTACCCCCTCCCATCCCCAATTATTTAACTATGCTCCAATGTGTTTCATTTCTGTGTTTAATAAATGCAATCAATATTATAGTTCTATATGACTCGTTATTACCGTAGAGCAAATGTGCACAAGGTTAAATTTTAATTTTATTGAATTATGTTAATTAGTTGCTTGGATGGTAGATTGTTTGTTTGCTTGTTTATTAGCACAATTGATTGCTTGATTGGCCGTTTACTTGATAACATTCTTTCTTTGTTGCTTTGCTGCTTCCTTGGTTTCTTGCATTAGAGTTTAATTAGCTACTTGCTTGGTTGGTTTGTCGGTTGTTTGCTTGCTTTATTTGTAAGTTGCATGGTTTGCTTTTTTACTTGTTTAGTTTCCTGCTTGCTTGGATGGTCGTTTGCTTGGTTGCTTGGTTGGTTACTTGCGTGGTTGGTTGCTGAGTTATTTATTTGAAACTTTCTAAATATCCATAGGCGTAGCCAAGGAGAAGGGGGGGGGGGGGGTTGCGAAAACCAATAAAAATCAAACCCTGAGAAAGAGCTTTTAAATGCTTTTTATTTGAAGCTTCTAGCTCACTTTGGAAGGAACTTGCATCCAGTTTTTGTAAAATTCAATATAAAAATAATTTTTGGCTTGTTTATGTCATAATCGCACCCCCCCCCCCCTGTTTATGTCACAATCGCACCCCCCCCCCCCCCGACTGAAAACCGAAATATTTTTGGCAATCGCACTCCCTCCTGACTGAAAGCTGGCTACGCCCCTGATATCTGTTATTAGCCATCAATAAACTATATTTATATGGTGAGCATTTATGGGTTTTGATAACAATAGGCTTTATACATGTATAATTAATCAAATTTCATATTGTATCATGTTGGCTAACTCTTTTCAAGTGGAGAATTAAGAACTGTAATCGGGGTTTGCTTAGTTTGAGTCAGGGAACAAAATGTAATCAGACGAATTAATTAATATTTGTTTTGATAAATGAGTATTATAGGTTATAGGCAGTATCATGGTAACCAAGTAATCGTGTATAGGATTATTTTTTGTTTACTTCAGAATTGAGTGAACCATCTGTAGTTTTAAAAACAAGGATCAATAAATACATCTAATCAAGATCAAATATTAGAAATCTATTTTTGACTGGACAGATTCTTGTTCTCGAATGTCAACCAGAACCTTCATTATCTTTATTCATTTGGAACTTTGATTTAATTTATTCCAATCAAACGTGTGTTGATGCTCCGAGCTAATAGTATTAATTGACAAAATGTTGCAATAGGGGGGGGGGGCATTATTGTCTTTATTACATTACTTTTGTACATTATTACATACACAGTAAACGCGACCCGATCGGGGAGGGGATTCGGGTTGTGCACAGTGCACAATTTGTTATCGTTTTTAATATGCATGTTTTATTGCCAAATTAATAATATAAAAAACAAGCTGGAGAAACATAAGTATTTATTTTGTATTTTGTTACCACACGTCAAAAGGCGCATTTGAAGTTCAGAAAATGTAAGAAGACTTGGTTAGACATTATGTACTTATATATTTATATGTTACGTATCTATTTTGTATTCAATTCGAATTCTGTTCACTCGCACTCCTCAAACCACCCCCACCCCTTGGCTATGGGTATAAGTACTTTCGGCACACGGAGAGAATTAAATTAGACTTCTGCAATGCAACTACATGTAATAAGAGAGACCTAAAATGAAATAGTGTAATGTAAAAATGTACAATTGTAGTCCATCACAAAGTTCATTTATTTCATAAAAGCGTCAAGGGACAATGCCTATAAACACTAAGATAAACAAATTAACTTCCGTAGAAACAGCCTGTAGTGGAAAAAACAAATGGCTTTTCATAACGGATTAGAATAGCCAGTCTGTCTAATTGTATAATATATTAGATACATTTTAAATTCCTTTATACTTCTTATCACAGACAGGTTGATCATTTTATTTAGACAAGAGATTGTATTCCAGCAGTGTCATTTGTAATTAGCCCTTTGAAGTTTAATCAGTCACGATAATCAGTTGGTCGGTTATTCAGTAAAGAAAAAAGTGATTATCGCAAGGCCATGCCTGTTGCCATTGTATCTAGCCTTTCAAAGTTATAATTTGGTCAGGATCGGACTGTGTCTGGTTATTAATGATTATTCTAAAAAATTAATCGCTGATTATTATGTGTTAATTCCAACCTGTTTGTCTAGTGGTAGTCAAAATGCATCCACGTTTTAATATAAAATGTCCAATAAATATTTGAGGTATTTATTTATACCCACCGATGCGATTAAGCTTCACCGTTACTATCTGTAACTTGATTTAACTCGTGTTGGAGGAAAACTATTTTAAGCTATCTAGTCTTTAGCATATAGAAAGGGATATTTCTAGTTTTACTCAATATGGATGAAATATATAAATGGACAATTTTGGCACTCGTAGCAGTTCTCTCGTTGATTGGTGTGGCAGGTAGGCAGAACTGCGTTATTATTGCAAACTTTTTTCAAAATCTCAAAGTCCATTGATATTAAGATTCTCGAAAAACAGTTTCGTTATTCCGTAGCTGTGGTGCTGCCTTAAGTGCATTCTTCGATAATACTCCGTGGTCATAAATGTATAAAAAATGTATATATCTTGAAATAAGGTGTGGAACAACTTGTTGAAAATGAGTTTTCCCAAAATTCGTTCTCTAGGATTCCATTACGACGATTAAAATTTTTAAATGATACGGTGAAGACATTCATATTTTTGTTATTTATATAATAGAGATAACAAATAGGCAATTTTGAAGATGAGATTATATTTTAAGTTTTAAAAGAATGGATATTGAAGTTCACCAAAGGTTGTACTCTTATTCAATTACACAATATTTCTGAAAGTTATTTGTAATGAGTGGGCATCTACTTAATCCATCTTGAAACAATGCTTTGACCCTTAATTGTTTGTTTTACAGTTTTCATATATCTAATATGACGGATGATCAAAGTAACTATGATCTATGGTGTGCCATATTATTGTAGTATCTGGGTGTTTCAGAAAAATGCAGCCCCCATACCAATAATGCATAACTTTTTTACCAAGAGCTTGAAAAATCTTTTTTGGTTCAATGCTCTTTGAGTTAAGCATTAAGTATTATACTGTAGCATGTGTGTGACCCATTTGCTGCCCATATAACAACACCCAACAAAGTGTGGAAGGCCTGTGTACGTTTGTCTGCGAAAAAGTGGTAGAAATTTGGGGCAGGCTCTAAAATTGTCAGTAAATGTCACATGCACATGTTAAAGTGATGAAAATTTGTCAACTTAAAGAACATTGGACCAACCTTGATTATGCAAAACAAGACTTGTCAATAACCTATTTGTTAAAAGGACATACATTGTTAGATGGGTCGTATTTATGAATTGTATTCAGGTTTTCTGATTCGTAATGGAGACCAGGCAAGGCAGTTAATTAATAAATTAATTGATTAAACAGCATGTCGATGTCCTTGCAGAAAGTAGTTGCGAATATGGGGGAACCACCTTCGCCACTAACCATACATTCCTAAAGGATGACATGTGTAACGACTGCACCTGCTTGGAGAACACGAAATGGAGGTGTACAACCATGAACTGTTCAAGTAAGAAAACCCTCAACCCTGATCAATTAAATCTCAATCACCTCAACCATTTTAAGCATTGTACTTTTAATTTAATATTTGTAACTGCAATATAATAAGTTTATGCTTGTAAAGAGGTTTGATAGAACATGAATATTAATGCTGGTCAGTTTATGCCAATTTTGCCAAACCTCTTCAATGATGTATTTCATTTTCAGCCTTTACCTGCTCATATGGTAATCAAATATACAATCTAGGAGATAGATTCGGCGTCGAATGCAACACGTGTGATTGTCAACGCTCAGGTGCTTTATGCTCAAACATTGATTGTTACAGCTCGGGTAAGTTGTCACACGTGTAAGTGTACACCATGATTATCGTCATCGTTTCACTAATAAGTTGCCTGGTGAGAATATACCGTGACAGAAAATGAGATTTCTCTAAATCACAGTCGTGGTCGTAGATGCTACGTACTAAATACACCATTACTCATAGAAACATCGACCATGCAACGCAGAGCCTCTACTATCACTACGTCTCAATATTTCATGATGTTTAATTAAAAAAAAAGTTTTAAAAATATTACTTAGGAACGTAACCGGAGCTGGGAACGTAACCGGAGCAGATCAGTTGAATTATATAATTTAAAAAAATACAATATATGATTTAAAGCATATATATTATTTACAAACGCATATGAATGTTAAAATGAGCATTATTTATTACCCTTCACTTACGGGAAAATCAATGCATGGCAATTAGTATAAATTAGAAATTAGTATAACAGAGTGGGTTCTAATAGTTTGCTGAACAAATACAATGGGTGAAATCAAATGGAATTATTTGCTTACTACATTTAATCACTTCATTCTCCATACAATGATTGTTCTATGTCTGATAGCCTTTCTAAGGTAAGTGCACTTATGCATGGTAAATACCAAATTTAATTTTTTACAATGGATAAATTTTTTTCTTTAAATTAAATGTAATAAATACGCATTCGAACAATCCCGTATGTTTTTAAATTAGTATATGTGCTTTAAATCTGTAACGGGGCGAGTGTAAGGCCCGTGGGTGGCAAATAAAAGTAACAGATAACTAAAGTTAAAATATATAAAATAGTCTATTTCAAATAAACTTCAAACGTTCTCTGTACAATCTACATTATCATCTAACTCTAAGCAACTACTTAGGCTGGGCCAACACCCAAACTCAGCTACATGTGAGTGAATGCTATTATATGAAATACAAAAACAGTACGAAACAATCACACCATGAAAAGCTAAAAATTGCTTTAAATAAAGGAAGATTTAGTAGAAAGTATACAAAAGAATTGAAATTGGAATTAAATATTTGAAACACTGGTGTAAAGTAATGAAGGGACCTGTTAAAATGACATGGATGGGGATTGGTCAATATGAAAAGTAGAAATATAAACAATGTGAAAATGACCATGTTACAAATCATATATTTTAATTTTTTTGATTAAATAATTCAACTGATCTGCTCCGGTTACGTTCCCAGCTCCGGTTACGTTCCTAAGTAATATTTTTAAAACTTTTTTTTTAATTAAACAAATCAGAGTCGTGTGAATCAGAAATAACAGCATTATTCAAAAGTATAAGGACTATTCTGTACTTTTTTCAAAAGTCTATACCTAAATGTTGTGAAAAGTTATAATCTTTCGGAGTAAAGTCCGTCTGCACCGATTTCAATAACTTCGTACTTGATCAGAACTGGGTTCCAACAGAATTCCTACAAACTCATGAATGAAATAGTTATTGCATGGAATACTTACTTTTGTCAAAATCAAAATAGAACTCTAGTTAAAAATATATTGTGCTAAATTATTGCCATTTTTTAGTAAAATGTCGTTCTCCGGTACGTTGCCAAAATTATTCGATGGCACCCCGTGTTAATTACTTTATACGCTGTCGAGATAATCTAATTGAATTATTCAAAGTTATTTTGATGGCGTTGATAACTCATTGATTTTGGAGAGTGTATAACTTGTTATTTGCTTTTTTCTTTAATTTATTACTTCCTGAGGGATAATCCTCCGTGGCTTGCAAATCCCGTACTGACTCAACTGAAAAGCATCCATATTTTCATATATCTGCTATGTAAAATCCACGTACATCTTATAAAATACGTGTTTTGTAAATTAAGAACAATTTCATATAAGCAACAATATCTTGGAGTACTTCGTACACGACCTTCACGTCGGATCCTTTCCAAATAAAATTAATTTATCTGAATTCTTCCATTTTTTGGAAACTAAAGTGTCTGGATGATGTTTAACACCTTAATAATATTTTTTCACTATAACACGATGATTTAACTCAAGATGTCGGAAATAAGATGAATTTGTGAAAATGGCATTTTTCAACAAATTGTGCTTTCTAGAAGCTTTAGGAAGTTTCAGGTCATGTACAGATGAAATGTTGAGACGTAGTGATACTAGAGGCATCTCGAAGCTGATATGAGGACGAAATGATCATCTTCTGTCAAAACATCGAAATAAATGTGTAGGTACATGGATCTTTGGGTCCACAAACTTAGCTCTAAATTCACGTCGTAGACCTCCGGTTGCATGACGTGTTGAGAATGGGGCGAGCACATAATGTAGTTTCCCGTATTGAACACTCTATGTACACATAAAAATGCAGATTTCAAGATCTTTTTTTATTTTTACGTTTGCCGTAGAAATAAGTTATTTTTGAATTGTTCATAAATTCAAGTGCGCCATACGGCCACCGTAGCATATGTAACCGTATAAATATCAGACCGTACAGATGCCGTAGAAAATCTAACTGAGGCACATATTACTCCAAAAATAGTTGGTTTCATTTTTGTGTGTCACCCCAAGTGGATATAACAGTGCATGTGTATTCAACGCAATGACTAAAAGTCAACAGACTGTATTGTAATGTAGTTTTTTTTGTTACTGTTTCAGGAACTTCAACAAAGCCAGTCGTAGTTATTTCAACCCTGACAATGACGTCACTCATATTTATACAACACTTTCTGAATCTTTAACCAATGCACGGCCAATCTAGTCCCCGAGCTGCTCCAAAAATTGAGGTGTCGTTATTGTCCAGTACCACAAAAAATGAACATACTGTTTGAAAGTAGTTTACGATAACAGGGAATTTTGCCTTTAAAATGGCGTCATACAAGGTTGCCTTCTAAACAAAACTTTTTTATATATTTAAAAAAAATTCCACATACATTTAAACTGCATTTCAAAAAAGAATCGAGTGCTTTTGATCAACAAGAGAATATAGAATTTGGAAAATGTCAAATAGATGGTCCCCACAGGATGCAAACGTATTTAGTATTATCATGTAAATGAGCTTTAAACTTGATATAAATTGTATATTATATTATAGTGCAGTCAGAATGAGGGTTTAGACGTGCGTTCAGAGGGATTTTATGGGACATAATTTTTCATGTTGCTAGTATGATTTTACATATTTGTATGGATTATTAGATCTTAGTTTTTCAGCTTTTAGATTTTGTGGCCATTTTACCCCACATGGGCTATAATTTGGACCCCTACTATAAAATTGGGCTGGAACTCCGAAAATACTCAGTGGAATGTATCCAAATTACTTGGATATATTGGTATGGCCTAACTGAATATATGATAAAAATTTCATGTCACATGATTAAGCGGTTGCCATGGAAACAGATAAAACATACCCTTCATGTGTTGATTTTCAGGCCATTTTTCAGAAATGATAGAGTCATTTCATGCATATTTTGTCACCATTGTGTTAGGAAGGGTTAAAGTATGAATAGAAAACTTCTATAATATATTAGCAACAATCTTATATAAAGATTAGTCCACAGGATTTCAGATTTCAGCCTTATATGGGTCCATGATTTATACAGGGGTCTATTTCACAGACTCGAACCCCCACATTAGATGGATGCTATAACTTTTGAAATAATGGAGATACAGGTCTCTTTTTTTCAGATCTTCATAAATGGTTGGTTTTAAGTATTGTATTATACTTTGGGAGCTGGTATGTGATTGATTGCTATGGTAACCAAGGTTTTATGGAAATTCGGACCCCACATTGGATGGATGCTATAACTTTTGAAATAATGGAGATACAGGTCTCATTTTTTCAGATCTTCATAAATGGTTGGTTTTAAGTATTGTATCATACTTTGGGAGCTGGTATGTGATTCGTTGCTATGGTAACCAAGGTTTTATGGAAATTCGGACCCCCACATTGGATGGATGCTATAACTTTTGAAATAAGGGATATATGTGTCTCATTTTTTCAGATCTTAGACAATGATTGATTTTAAGGATTGATTCAGACTTTGGGAGCTGGTATTTGATTGGTTACCATGGTAATCAGGGTTTTGTTGAAATTCAGACCTCCACAATTGATAAACGCTATACTTATACAGGCAGATACAAATATCATCTTTTCAGATATAAGATAATAATAAAATGTGTATATTGTATTAGACTTTGGAAGTTAGGATTTACTTGGTTGCCATGGTAACCATGTTTCATTTTCATGGTAACTGCCGTTTTTGTTTTTAGATTCACCTTCATTCTAGATAGGTCAATACATGATATAATATACCAAATTGCCATTTTATTCTTAATTTTTGGATTTTTTCTATTTTATATGATTAACATGCTCATGTCTCATTAATACTAGAGAGGCGAAAATTGTTTGGCTCAGAAAATATCAAATACTAGTAAACAATACACATATATTTATATCTGACAATATTGCCTCATTCCATACTAGTTCTCACAAATATTCTGACTCCTAACTTGTTCATTTTTACTCATCATTACTGTTTTCATTTTTCACAATTGCCTCTTGATTTAAATATCAACCGTTTCTGTTGAAATGAAGGTTTGTTTTGACCATTCTGGAGTTGAGGATCCTCAGGGGATTTAGTACATTCATGCAGTACTGGGCTTGGCAGAATGGGTTAAGCCTGGTCCCTGGGGGTTCACTGTATATAAAATTTGGCTGGGGTCCTAGTCTGAACCCTCAGATATCAATATGTTCCCATACCAATCTGTCAAATTTGAATGTATTTCCATACCAACCAAAGTAATGCCCAAAAGTCATACCAAATGCCCAAATATAGGATCAATGCAATATCAACTATCCAGATATAAAAATATGGCCATTCAAAATGTCTAATGCCCCGAGAAGAAGGCAGACCCTTGAGGAAAACAACCAAAAACAACTTCACATTATAACGGATATATACTAGACCAATGCCATACCACAAGTGAGGGGTAACATATTTTCCAAGACCATTCTCATACCAGTAAGTGGAAAAATCGGACCATTGCCATACCTCAAATCATAATTTAGAGGGCATTCTCATATCAGATCTTAAAAGGAGAAGAGTCACTATGGAGAGCTTTTTAGAAGGACACAACTATTTTATTCTGGAAGTGATCATAATAAAACTTTAACATACTTTTAGAAATGAGGTGAATTCAGAGATCCTAATATATTATTCTCAAATTATTAAAACGTGGGTTTGTTGAACGTTTTTTGTGAAGAGTTCATCATTGGCTCCAAAGTAATTCATTGCATTACATTAGCTGCTATGTCGAATATCTTCCACCTTGTAATGATTGCTCACTCCAACATTTAGGATTTGTCATTCATCCTCTTCAAATTTCTATATTGTTTCCTATGAAGAAAACAACTTTAAGAACCTCAACTGATGTGAACTCTGTCCCATTAGATGTCAGATGCTCAACCAAACCTCTGTAGCTGCAAACTTAGAACGAAGTACTGTGTGAAGCCATATTAGCCTTCAATGCGTTACTGGATGTGAATGATGAGGGCAGTACTGTTTTGGAGAATATCTTATGTGAAACAGCTCAAATTGTAATTTATTGATGTCAGTTACAAATGTATTCTTGTAATTCTGCTGTTCTTTTGCATGTGAACAATTCAACTTTCGATTTTATTGTTACTGGATCTGATCAAAAGTAAAATAAATCAACTGAAACTGAAGACAAGCAATTCTTGTTGTTTCCTTCAATAGGAAACAATATAGAAATTCCTGATACCATAAAATCCAAAGTTGAATTGTTCACCTGCAAAAGTACAGCTAAATTACAAAAAAATAACTGCCACTAATAGATTACGAGATGAGCTGTTTCACATGAGATACTAGAATAGTATTCTCAAAAACAGAACAGTGCTGCCCTCACTTATGAAGGTGTTGACATTTTCAACTCTTTCACATTTGAAGAGGGTGAATTATCAAACCTGTGTATGGAAACATTCCAACCAGACTAAACCCAGCTCCACCAAACCAAACACTGCATGTAATGAATGAATTATGAATTCCCTGAGGAATCCAATCCTTCCTTGTTGAAATTGTTGATATTTTAAATTAAGAGACCATTGTGGAAGATGAAAACTATAATGATGAGTAAAAACAAGTTAGGAGTAGAATATGTGTGAGAACTAGTAGAATGGAATGAGGCAATACTGTAAGACATACATGTAAAAATGCTGAAATTAAGAGTAAAATGATAATTTTGAGCAATTTTGCGTTCTATGTTGTGTCTTGACCATTCTCAAATGAAGGTAAATCTGAAATCAAAAATGAAGTTTCCATGACAATGAAATATGGTTATCATGGCAACCAAGTAAATTGTAACCTCCAAAGTCTGACACAAGACACAAGTCTAATTATCTTTTAAGTTCTGAAAAGCTGATATCTGTATCTGCTTGAATTCAAAAGTTATACCATTTATCAATTGTGGAGGTCTGAATTTCAATAAAACCCTAGTTACCATGGTTACCAATCAAATTTCAGCTCTCAAAGTCTGATTTAATACTTAAAACCAATTATTGTCTAAGATGTGAAAAAATGAGACATGTATCACCCTTATTTCAAAAGTTATAGCATCCATCCAATGAGGGGGTCAGAATTTCCCTAAAACCCTGGTTACCATGGCAACCAATCATATACCAGCTCCCAAAGTATAATACAATACTTAAAACCAGCCATTTATGAAGATCTGAAAAAATGAGACCTGTATCTCCCTTATTTCAAAAGTTATAGCATCCATCCAATGTGGGGGTTCGAATCTGTGAAATAGGACCCTGTATAAATCATGGACCCATATAAGGCCAAAATCTGAGTTTCTGTGGACTGATCTTTACATAAGATTGTTGCTTACATATTATAGACGTTTTCTATTTACACTTCAACCCTTCCTAACACACTGGTGACAAAATATGCACAAAATGACTCTATCATTCCTGAAAAATTGGCCTGAAATTGACACCCAAAGGGTATGTTTTATCCATTTCCATGGCAACTACTTAACCATGTGACTTGAAATTTTTATCATATATTCAATTAGCCCATACCAATATACCATAGCAATTTGGATACATTCCACTGAGTATTTTTTTAGTTCTAGCCTAATTTTATAGTAGGGGTCCAAATTATAGCCCATGGGGGGTAAAATGGCCACAAAATCTAAAAGCTGAAAAACTAGGATCTAATAATTCATACAAATATGTGAAATCATACTAGCAACATGAAAAATTATGTCCCGTAAAATCCCTCTGAACGCACGCATTTAGGCTCATTCTGACTGCACTATTACAGCTATAAAATAAAATTTACATATGAACAGAATTCTATATCATTCTTCTTGGAGACTGTTGAGTTCCGATGAATATCTCAATATACCATATACATAATAATAAATATTAAGTTTAATTCGACAGATAAGTTCATTTGTATATTCATTTATTTGCCTCATTATTATTTCATGTTTGCATCGATCCAGTCTAGATATTCAGATGTTCTTGTATAGACAGCTGGTTTTCCAGTACAAACTCTCATTCCCCATGATGTCACGCCTGCTTGGATCCAGCGGCCATTTTTCTTGCATACCAACGGGCCACCAGAGTCTCCCTGGATAAGATATACACTCCCCTCCATAAGTTTGGCAACCTTAGCTCCCCCATTGAAGTACGTGTTAATGTCTCTTTACGTTTGAATTTTTTTTACTTACCCTGCGATGAAATTACTTATAACATTGATAGAAACGTAACTTTATTTCCAATAGCTCCAAATTTTTTCAATTTTTTGCTCAATATATTACAATAGGTCGAAAATTGATGATTTTGATAAACATTTGAAAACCGACATTCCCATGTTAAAGAGCTTATTGCACTGTATATATAAATAATTGCGACTCCCGTGGAATAAACTTCATCATAGCATAAGGAAATGAATTAGAATATAAAAATACAAATAATCGTTTGTTGTTCTTAATAAATCACACTTCAGTGAACGTGTTGTTTCGGTTTCGATCAATTGAACTCTATATTCATGAGCCTACGATGACGTCTACATAGGCACATTAGACTACATGAATATAGAGCTGGTTACGTTCACTCCTGTAATTATGAATGAATAGTTGACGATGTTTAGGCCCCCATGTTGAGTTCACTCAGAATACATTTTGAGTAGAGCTTATCACGCTCACTCCTGTAATTGTGAATAAATAGTTCACAATGTTTGGGCCCCTTGATTGCGTTCACTCGGAATACGTTTGAAGTAGGCTAAAACCAATTTGAATTTGAATCGTGTCTCCTCTATTCACCGTGACAGAGCTGCGATTCGCGAGCGATTATTACAACACCTGAGTGAACACGCCCAATAATACCTCGCTTACATAAGGTCAGATTCACACTGTATCGGGGCCTTGGCGATGGGAGTATTATGTGGATTTAATTTTTAACACAATACTAATCCCCGGCGCCCTTGTGATGAAACTGAGCTTATTTTGATCACACAACAACTTCATGATCATGACAGAAATGTGAAAGTTCGCGTGGCTTGCGCAAATTATATATATATTGATATTATTATTATCATTTTTGTTTATATCACTTCCTTTTACTCAATTTAGAAATATGCTTGTTTTACAATATTTCGATTGATTGGTGCAATACGGGATGTACAATTAGATTATTCTTTTGTACATCAGAAATACATTGCACATAGGCTTACTTCAGATCGCGCGTGCAATCTAGGTTCAAGGCCATTTTCTCTCTTTCCAAGGAGAATAAATATAACAAAATTCAGATGGGCATTTTTATACTTCTTTATTCGTCCATTATAGTGAAGTCTTGGGGTTGTTACCCCTGTGGAGCATCTATATTGATTCAGGGGAGCACGTTTTATATAATTTCGATAGGAAAAGAAAATTGATATACAGTGCAATAAACTCTTTAACCAATGGGAAATGGTAGATTTGCCGCAAGTCATTTGAGAAAATATCCAACCATCCGAGTCCTTGCAAAAATACCAGATAGGTAGGCAATTGAATTTTCTAACTTTATTTAACAAAAAATTGATACGTTTCCTCAGGTTCAACAAAGTCATAGGTCTTAAAAGTTAAAATTGTTTTTCAAAAAACTCTCAAAATTGAAATTACACAGGAGGCGAAAATGATTTTCAAAAATGACTTTTGAAGCTCTGTAACTTTAGTATTCAGCAAGTAAACAAAACACTTAGTGTACAAAAAACGATTAGACGATTCAATTTTCTATATAACATTTTTTTGCCGAATCTTTTACTGAATAGATATCCTGATTACTGATTTGCCCCGAATCCACCATTTTCCATTGGTTTACATTGGAATGACGGCTTTCAAAAATCAAATCAAATTTATCATCAATTTTCGACCTATTGTAATTGAAGAAAAAATTGGGAAAAATTGGAGGTATTGGAAATTAAGTCAAGTCCATCAATATTAAAAGTAATTTCATCGCAGGGTAAGTAAATAAAAATTCAAACGTAAAGAGGCTTTAACACGTAGTTCAATGGGGGAGCTAAGGTTGCCAGACTTATGGAGGGGAGTGTACATGCTGTTATGGAACCATATATAGTTATTATTATTCAAAAATGCTCCGTGAATGAAATTTTTATTTCAAAATGTATCTTACAAGGATCTTATTAATAGAATATAACAAAATCAGTTATATTCAGCTTTATTAACGGTGCCTTACGTACACTCAATGTATATTTGAATGCAATAAACCATTTGCTTAAAAATAGTGCTATGTACATAACAATTATCAAAATGCCCAGAAATACTAATATTGCAAATATGAACGATTAACATCATATGCAAACCCCAAATCAGCACCCATGACTTATAACCTGTGGCTTACCATACACGCAGTTTTAGTCTGAGATGGAGGGACTGTTCCCATGCAAATCTGTCGGTCGGACACTCTACCAGGCCAGTATTTGTTGCAGTTTGCTGTTGTATAAACAGGAACTGTTACTTCCCTAAGTTTTGTATTGTCCCCGGTGCCTAAAAGATTGATACTATTGTCTTTTATTGGTGTTTTCCTTAGTATCGCTACACTCAATTAGCAATCTCACTTTGTAGAATGATTGTGCGGATCATATGATCAAAAATCAGCATATTACCCCCAGTTTATCTGACAACATGTCATTATTAAATAATACATTTTACCAAGGCGCGGGACGCACCTTTGATGAATTTTTTTGATTGACTCAAACATAACAAAAGTACTTAGAAGTCACAAAAATCATGAACTTGTAAATAAAGAACATTTAAGCAATGGATTTTCTCGTGTTAGAGTTAATTTTTAAAAAACACGGAAGTGATGGCAACATATATCAGACAAAAAGAGATTAACGAGTGGATTATTAAACATGATATTGATATCATTCAATGAAGTCTTTTCGAAGATTATACTTTGGCCTTACATACGCATTTGGTTTTGTGGTCAGAAAGTACTCGCAAAAAGTTAAAACTGTCTGAAATCTGCTGCCATAAATTCCGCGGTCCTTTGCATTACGCAATTTTGATTTTTACAGGGGTCCGGGTTGATATGACCTCGGATGCACTAAGCTGCATTTTAAGGATATATTTTCATAATTTTCAATATTGCATCAAAAACGAGTTTTCAAGGAGCAGTTTATTAATCTGCGCCACGAGCGGACCTTCATATTGACAAGGGGTAGGGCAATTTCTTGAAAATCCTTCTTCAAAGGATAACAAATTGATGACACTGTATACCACCTAGATGTGGGCACATACTTTTGGTATTGGAGGATGCAGGAGGATGATCAAAGCTTGCTACATGAAAACCTACCTATCGTCATCCCCCATCCTGTTGCCACACAACTCCCTGAGAACTGCTCTCCTTTCTTAGGAAGACACACAGTATTTACATGCTCGTTTTTGAAGTCAATATCCTTTGTGAGTTGCAGAAGCGCAATGTCATTGTCGTTGAGAATACTTTGACCTTGAATAGATCCAAACTGTTTGTGCTAAAACGAACGAGATTGGTATAAAAGTAAGTAACGTAGTTCAAAAGTACATTTTGCACAGTGCCACTGTTAAAAAATAAGAAGTAATTTTGGCCATTAGTTTTTGCAGTGCCACTGTGAAGGAATGTAAAGTAAATTTTGGTCATGTGTTTTGCACAGTGCCACTGTAGAAGTAACTTTGGTCATGTGATTTACAACATGAAATTTTATGCAGTGACATCTTTTGCTCATGTTTTCAGGTTAATTGAACCATCCATCTTTTTTTATTTATTTATTCATGTAATATAATTATGATTAAGTATTACATTTACACACTAGATACCCATAGGGGGTATATCAGTTCATTATCATAATTTGAAAAACCATAAAGGTGTACAATTTATATGAGTTGAACATGAATACATACAATTTATAATAATACATGTTATAAAATATAAAAATATACAATTACTGCCTGCATGATAAATCCATGAGTGAAATTATAAACATTATGGATACAACAAAATGTGGAAAAATAACATGACATGCTCACAGCTTATAGCTCAATAACAATTTATCAATATTTTTTTGTAATTATATTTAAAGGAGTGTAGAGAGGGTAGAGATTGAAGGGAAGTTTGCAATTTATTCCATATCATTGATCCAAAGTATTGAACTGATTTCTTTGTTAAGTTTGATTTAAATCTACATGGAATTATATGTCGTATTTGTCTTGCGAGAGTGTTTAAAATTAAAATACTGTTTGAATAGATGGGATGGAAAAAGTGCAGGCTCTTTTACAATGTTAAACATGAATTTTGCTTTTTCTAACTTGTGAATATCAAATATGGTTAAAATATGAAGTTGCTTGAATAATGGTAAACTTGCATGATATATATCTAGATTTAAAGATAATTTAACGAATTTCTTTTGAATTGCATAGATTTTTTCTAATAAGAATTTGTTGGCATTTCCCCCATATAATATTGCAATATGAAATGTGAGAATATATAAGAGAGTAATAGATATCTAGTAAAGCTGTCAAATTTAATTTATAACGTACTTTATAAAGTTTACCTAGTGTTTTTGATATTTTTGAAATAATATAAGATATATGTCCATTCCAATTGAGTTTATTGTCTATTATTACACCAAGAAAATTTGTTTTTTCCACACGTTCAATGGTAATTTTATCAATCATTAACTGGTATTGTGGATCATTGAGTTTAGCTTTTGATTTGGTAAAGATCATGTAGTTAGTTTTATCAATGTTGAGTGAAAGTTTATTGTTCTTGAACCAGTTAGATATATTAATCATTTCATTATTTGCAATTTTAAATAAATTTTCTAAGTTTTCATCTTCGAGGCATATATTGGTATCATCAGCAAAAATAACTAGTTTGAAAATACCTGATACTTTAAAAAGATTGTTTATGTATAGTGCAAATAATACTGGTCCCAAGACAGAGCCTTGAGGGACTCCAAAAGTTAAGGTTTCATTCTTGTCTGAATATGTACCATCAATAAAAGTTTTTAAGGTACAAACCTAGCATTTCTAGTTTATTAAGTAAAATAGTATGATCAATTGTATCAAATGCCTTAGAAAGGTCTAAATATAAGCCAAGAACATGTTTATTATTATCTAAAGCATGAAAGGCATGTAAATCTTTACAATATCGGCACTGCATTTGGGGAAAAGAAAACTTAAACATTATATAATCATGCCACTCACATCAACTACTCGCATTACAGCATGCTCAACCCCATTTTGTGTTTGCTGTCTCTGGTTGTGCCAGCCAACTCGTATCTTGAGACTAGATGCAGACTTCCTGAAGAAAAATTCCAATTAAACATTATTCAAAGAGATGCTCATTCAAGAATAAGTCAGCATTACACCATCATGAAGTATAATAATACAATTATTCAGAAAGCTTGAAACTGCAAAAAATCACTACGCTCTATTCCAAACAATTCAGAAATGCAATAACAATGATGAATGATGAAATCATGACCATATATGTATATAATGTATATAACTTTTTACTAATTTACTTCTTTCATATAAATTGTACTCTTCAGAATTGGAGGAAATAAAGATACAAACAAACAAACCAAGACTCAGTGGACAAAAAAGGTATCAAAGAAACAAAAATATGCCTATGATATGATTGGTCAATACTAAACTCAAAAGGAATTAAACATTGTCTAAATTGTTAATTGAATGAACGCTAAGGATAAGGGACGTGACTTTAAAGGATACCATTGATAAAATAGATTGAAAATCCCAACGTTTAAAGATCTTAAGAAGCACTTCACAAACAAAAAAAAGTAACAAAAAAATGTCATCAGGAGATTAGCTTGTCCATTTTTTCCACCGCCTTTGTATAGCCTGTGTTGTACTTCCATAGTTGATACTATATCCTCACCATGAGACTCTACTCACCCCTTAACACAATGAGCCGCCGTCAAGATCCACTTGGCTGCAATTACAGATCCTCCACAACTATGTCTTCCATTAACATATAGGTCTGCCATCCAAGGCCATCTCCCAACTTGGGCCTCTTTGCCTCCCACAATGTATTTATCATGGCCCAATTTGGACTTTCCGCAATTCCCATTCACTTAAAATACAATCAAGGGTGTAGACTTCACAACACTGTTTTGCTGTCCTGTAAAAGGTTCATTGAAGTAGCTGCTAAAGCGTAACACATGTAATTTTGTACATTCTAGTTTAGTATATCAAAATACGAAAAGCAAATTCGCAACAAGCCCCGAATAATTTTGAAGAGAGCTTTATTTTCTCACCGATAGGCTTATCAGTGCTTCGTGTGACAGTAGGCGTTGTTGGTACCACAGTGACACGTGTGTTTCCTGATCCGCATACACCACAAGACAAAGGGCATATCGATTTGTAGTATTTCGAATTTGAACTTGCACATAGCCCACGTCTTTTGAAATCAGGACAGCTATGGACAAATATGTCCTTGCAGGCCTTTGGAACTGCAGTTGGCCTCGTTGTTGGTACAGTTGGTCGTTGTGTGCTACTGCATACTTCACAACTCAAGGGACATATACGTCTAAAATAATCCTTGTTGGGATAGCTTTCTGCACAATAGCCCTGGCTCTTGAAGAATGGACAGTTGTCAAATTGGTCTTTACATGCTGTAATTAAAAGTGCCACAGTTTTATAACTAATTTCGGTTTAGGCATACCCTTAGTGTATACTCGTAATAGAGCTTCTTCTAAAGGAAGAAAGAATGGGAAGACTCTTAAGCTCACTTTCGTTAATCATAACATGGTTTAATATTTCTAGTAGTTAGTATATGCTCACTTGTCGGTCTGGGAGTGGTAGGCCTGGTCTTTGGTTGGGTTGGACGTGCTGTCCCTGATGAACAGTCTCCACATACACAGCATGTGGCAGAACATATATCTCTGTAGAATTGCTGATTGCAGAATCCTTGTCTCTTGTAAATATCACAGGCTGAGGACCTATCCCGACAAGCTTGATAATAAAATGGCAGGGGATAATATAACATGATTTCATCATTATTTCTCTCTTTCAGAAATGCAGTTGGTCCTAAATGTAATTTAGAATAAACAGGTCCAATTGTCTAAAAATGATAGCTATTTTATGTTTGTTGGTCCAATTTACTTCAAGCAGTTGTTCGTGGTGCTCACCGTTGAGTGCGTTTTTTGGAAATCTGGCTGGAGAAAATACTTATCTATTCATTTATTTTTAGGAATTATCTCAGATATGCAGGTTACACGCTGATTTTGTGAATGCTGTAATTAAAAGTGCCAGTTTTATAACTAATTTCGGTTTAGGCATACCTTTAGTGTATACTCGTAATAGAGCTTCTTCTAAAGAAAGAAAGAATGGGAAGACTCTTAAGCTCACTTTCGTTAATAATAACATGGTCTAATATTTCTAGTATATGCTCACTTGTCGGTCTTGGAGTGGTAGGTCTGGTCTTTGGTTGGGTTGGTCGCGTTGTCCCTGATGAACAGTCTCCACATACACAGCATGTGGCAGAACAGATATCTCTGTAGAATTGCTGATTGCAGAATCCTTGTCTCTTGTAAATATCACAGGCTGAAGACCTATCCCGACAAGCTTGATAATAAAATGACACGAAAAATATAGAACTGTTTTATCATTAGTTTCAATCGAATCCCCCTTTCAGAAATGTTCGTCTCAAACTTTTTAAAAGATTTATCTTGAATTTCCATTTGCCCAGGAACTTGTTATCAAGTAATTAGTCATAATAATGTAATCTTGAATAATGAGCTGCATTGTGTCCATAAGTGAATACTAGGTATTTTGTGTTTGATCCCGATAACTTACTTCCAGTAGTTGGTCGTGGTGTCTGTCGAGGAGTTGTTCTTGTTGGAAATGTGGCTGAAATAAAATGCGTACTTATTCATTATTTGAGATTTGCTCATTACACAACGATAATTCAAATAAGTAACGATGCAAATTAATTTAAATTATCAAAATCCAGAACATAATATTTGTCAATGATCACTATTTATTAAGAAACTAATCTTACGTCTTATGGTGCGAACTGTCGGTTGTGTCCTGCGTGTGGTAGGTCGAGCAGTTACTGGTGGGATCGTAGCTGGATTGTTCAAAGGTTTAAACAGTTAAGTAGAATATTATGACAAATTGAGATAAAATAAGAGACCATTCATAGATACAGGTACACAATATAGAGGACGAACGAATTCTGATGAGTCGATTCTAGTTGAGACTATTTTAAGTAGTTTAAAAAGTAGATTACCTCCACCTTTGCAGTTGTACAGGATGTTTATTTTCTGTATATCAAGGTTGGAGAATCCCCTCCTTTGTCCAATGGTGACCCCACTTTGCCTAGGCACGATGGTCCTCTGTCCATTCTTAGTAAAGGCAGTAGGCCCATAGTGCATTATAGACCCATAATCGTAGCTCAGTATGTTCTTTGCCTGGCTCGATGACATTTTCTGGAAATTGTGTTCCATGCCTAGAAATATTAAAGTGTATACTATGTAACTATACAAAAATCAAACAACACTCTCTTTGCATGCGCATTTGTCACGTATTGAAATTACTGTTATCTATTCAAACATCTTATATTTTACTCTAAAATGTATTTTTGTTCTGAAATAATTTTTAAGAGTATTGTTTGTAAAACAAACTCTATTATCTTTCCATGGATTCCAAGTGTGAAATGGTACAAAAGAAACATATATGTTTGCCAATATATAATACTTGATTTTATGTAATTGCATTATTGTATACTCGTAATTATTATCTACAATGAGCATGTATTTGCAGTGGAATTACACTCTGATACCCAAAATGGGATGAGAATATCTTATCTAATCTAATTTGATAGATACAATATATGTATCGTCGAGAATATGTAAACTCGCAAGGCCTAGTTCTACGCGAACTATGGCCGTATGTCTTTTATGTCGCACTCTGAGTACGCTGTGTACAGCCGTGATTACGAGGCGATTGTGGGGCTAATTAACCTGGTCTAACATTCTGTAACATGATGGTCACATAGTTATCTCGATCACTTCTGCTTTGTTCGTGCCAGAATCCAACGGCGTGCATCATCTCGTGGATTATGATTCCCTTGTTCCAACAACCACGTCCCAAACTCAAAGTTTGGACCCGTCGCAGCGTACCAACATTTGAATAGCATCTGAATTAAAAAATAGTTCATGGTATTGTATGATGATGCTCTTTGCATTGAGTATTCTTATCGCCACGCCTTTTACAGAAAGATATGGAATTACAATTAACACAATTAGAACAGAATCTCAATATCCAGCGAAATTCATCTTATCATGTCAAATTATGTTGATTGTCTCTATGAGTTCTTTTCTTGGAAAGCTAACTAGGAAATACACAGATCTGTGATGAGCATAGAATGGCATTCTTCACATAAACAAAATGTTACTTTAATTTTGGATGTTCACTTTCCATGACTTAAGAGGTCTTCAAATGTTTCCTCTAATTTCAATAGTGTATTCTTACTGAAAACTTAAATGTTCAATATGAATTTATCGTCTATGTACGAAAGCATCACAACGATGCGTCATGTGGGCAACAAAGAAACAATACTTTACCTTTCATTGGATAAAATATTATCATACATGGCGATTTTCTCTAAAGATCCAAAAGCTCACCCGCCGCCTTTGATGATCTTAACATAGGCAGACTCCGTGGTTCTAGGGACCCATCTTATACAAGTGTAAGTTCTGTAGTCGGAGATGGCCGCCTGGAGCAACTGCAACTCACTGCTACCTGAATGGCGCATTACAATGATTGCATAGACATTTTCTAACACATTAACAGAGTATTTTGCATGTTCTGTTGGCACACGACAGGGCTGTATGCTCAGCCCACAGCTATTCATTTTGTATTTAAATCAGTTAATATCAATGATGAAAGAAAATTGTAATGGAATATATGTAAATGAAAATCATAATAATGTTGTTATGCTGCTATATGCTGATGATATAGCCAATGTCTCTGATACTGTTGGTAGATTGCAAGGTCAAATCAGAATTCTTGAGCAGTTTTGTCAAAACTGGGGTATGAAAGTTAATTTAGGCAAAACAAAAATAATGGTATGTCGAAATGGGGGTGTTCTTAGAAAAAATGAGATGTGGCACCTTGGAAATACTAAAGTAGAAACTACACCATACTATAAATATCTGGGCTTATTATTTTCTTCAAGGTTAAGTTGGTCACCAGCTAAAAGAAATTTAGCATCGCAAGCTAGAAAGGCAATTTTCAACATTAAAAAAATCAGAGTGAGATGTGGTGATTTACCAATACAACTAGCCTTTGAAATATTTGACAAAACTATTGTACCTATTTTATGTTACGGCAGTGGAGTTTGGGGGTATGAATATTCTGATATTATTGAAAGAGAGCATGTTCGGTTCTGTAAATATGTTTTATGTTTAGGTGAAAAGGCAAATGATGTATGTGCACTTGGTGAATGTGGTAGGCATCCTTTAAACATTGTATATATGAAACATTGTATAAAATATTGGTTAAACCTTCTTAAAATGCCAGATGAAAGATTACCGAAAGCTTCCTATAAAATGTTATATCAATTAGACCAAAGTGGTAGGATAACTTGGGCAACACATGTTAAAACCTTATTGAGTTCTATGGGCTTTGGAATTGTTTATACCAACCAAAGTGTTGGAGATGAAAACTTATTTCTTAAAATTTTTGTGCAAAGAATAAAAGATGTCAATTTACAAGCATGGTCAGGATCATTATTAGCTTCAAATAGATTGGAATCATACAGTGATTTTAAAAGTATATTAGAAGTCGAAACATATTTATCAGTTGTAAATATTGTAAAATATAGAAGAGCTTTAACAAGGCTGAGATGTTCCAATCATAAACTGAAAATTGAAATTGGTAGGCATCAAAATATGCCAAAAGAGGATCGCATATGCCCTCTTTGTGAATTATACCAAGGTACACATATTCTGGAGGATGAATTTCATTTTATTTTAATCTGCCCGTCATTTATTGATCTAAGGGAAGAGTACATCAAAAGGTATTATTATATTTTACCATCACATCAAAAGTATATTAATTTAATGTCTACAAAAGGTGTAAATGATTTATGTAACTTAGCTACTTTCTGCTATAAAGCATTTAATTTAAGGCAGGAGCTACTAAATTGATGTAAACATGTATTGTTATATTTGTAAAACTATGGGCCTGAGGCCTTTTATTTGTTTGAAATAAACTAAACTAAACTAAACTAAACTAAACATATCATTATATAATGTAAAATAAGAAATATAGAAGAATATTGAAGAATCTTAGAAATCATCCACAGTTGTTTTGGTGAATGTTTTGTACTTACTTGCACCTTGTACTGTATATGGTACAATCCCGTTGGGCCACATCTGTGTTGCTCTAGAGATGGCATTGTAAACATCTTCCCAGTCGCCGTCTATCGCAATATCACCTTCAAACAAATTACCCTCTTCTGGGGATCTGACATGTTCGATTGGAGTTGCCTGGAAACGCATTGCTCTTCTGCATAACATTTCCCGATCATCATGATATGATACATGAAATAATGTGAGTGACCATACAACATTACATTTCGTCGGCCATAAGGGCTATCTAGTCTCATTTGCATTCGTTCGACTTCACTTCTTAAAAGAGAGCTTTGTCTTCATAATTTATAACTAGACTCTGCGCGCAGAGTAGCTATTTAGCATCTATGATCACAGTCTCTTAAAAGAGACCGAGTGCGTAATCAACCATTCTTGGAAACGAAACCTTCCCTGGTGTCTTTGGGTTCGAAAAGATAATTTTCGAGTTCAACAGACAATCAATCAATTGTGTAAAACTGAAGTTAAGTTGAATTTTGGATAAAACCATCCTCTGTTTTCCTGAACCCATTACCACACCGAAACTTACTAGTACATATGTTGTAACAAACGCCAAGGAAGCTACCAATAAGGTGAAGAGTGACTTCATCCTTATTGCCTGATAGCCAGAGTGAGTCTGTTCGAACTGAAGAGTAGCTCACATGTACATACGTCATGGATACATTAATTTAAATTTCTTATCAATTGATATAAGATAATAATGATAAGCAAGATATCAAATGTGATGATAAAATAATGTGTTTTGAATTCAAAACTCGGAACAGTTTGAAACGATACATTGAGTGACGGTTCAATTTCTGATTTATAATGCTTCTGATTCAAAAGATGGCACTGCAATTATCTTCTTTTTTATCAACACTTTTTTATACATATCTTTTACATATCTCGGCTTGATATCCTCTTGGATCCTTTTTAAATTATTTTTACATTAGATGGCTGATGCTTAGAATTTAACATTCGAGAAAGAAAAAAAGAAATTGATAAACAAAAGAAACGAATTAGAAAGAAAAGAGAAGAGAACGTTGCAGGTTTCGCATAGCATACAGTAATTTACATAGCAAAGTTCTCTTCTCGCTTAAGTCACAGTATACACTGAATTTTTTAATTCCAATTAAAACAAAAGACGAGAATCACGATACTATTTTTTATGAGTAATTTTTCATAATCCGTTTTGGATTTATTTCTGTCATTGATTTCTCTAATTGAGTTTGGGAGTTCATTCCATATACTTTGGCCTTTGTGTTAGATGCATGGATTTTTGACCAAAGAGCCGATTTAAAATTCTTTGACGTAAGGTCAAATCTATTTTTATTTACTGTGCTATTTGCTATAAAATAATTATTGAACATGTTGACGGTGAATTCCTTTGATCGTCTGATACAATTGAACACAAACAAGGAGATCTTTGGCGCTATGTAATATTATTTCCACCCTGCCGGGCCAGTTCTAGGGGTTTTAGTGCCAGTTTAGAAGGTATTCATTTTACTTTATTATGCACCTCATTAAAATACTCAAATCTGATTGGTTCTTAGTTGCTTGTAATTTGGCAATACTCTGCTCTTTTCTGAAAACTGCCGGATATTTTTTTAATATCTGACCCTTTCGAGAGAAAGGGTCGGATATTTTTTTCAATGTTTATGCAACATTCCCACTTCAGAGTTTTATTTCTTAATAACTGGAGTACTACTTAAAGCTTACATCTGAAACTGGCGGAAAATAGAAGAAAAAAATGCACTTAATCAATCACAATTAGCTTTATCATTCAAAAGTTACATATAATTCTGCAAGAACGTCTCGAATAAATAAAAATTAAATTCCCGGGGCAAATATTTTCGTCCAGTATAGCGAATAAATTGGCCGGAAGTCGTCTGAGTTTTGAAAGAAAAAATAAATAAATGTCAAAATAATCACGGACATCTAATACGTTCTTCGAACTGCCCTGGAACTATATCTATACCAGGACTGGCATAATAATGTCAACTAAACGACAGTTTAAGCCTGTACTCAAGTAAGTACTCCACTTAACTTTGATTGGGAGGTGCATAATAAAACAAATACTGGATGATCAGGAGCTGGATATGGCCAGAATACCTATCCTCGAAAAAATATTGGGCTCGGCTGCCGCCTCGCCCAATATTTTTTCATGAATAGGTATTCTGCCATATCCAGCTCCTGATCATCCAGTATTTGTTTAATATCAACCTGAGAGCAATATGTAACGTCATAGTGGCGGTCAATATTGCCGGGGTATCGAACCCTGTACACTCAGAATGAATCCTCAAATGTTGACATGTAAACAAAAAATGTCCCATACGAAAAACAATTTATCGACAAGTTTATTGACAATTTATTCAAAAGTTGACATGTAAACGAAAAATAGCCCCTGAGTAATCCAATTGTAATTCAAGTGTATCAAAATACACACCAAAGTCTAAAAGGTCAAGCCTGACAGGGACTCGAACCTGTGACCCTCAGATTAAAAGTCTGATGCTCACTTCACACTTCATTGATTTACCAAACCAGAGATAGCCTATAAACACACATTCGGTGATTTTTTCGGCGAATAGATAACTCAAACGAGTTCATTTGACCAGTTTTCTGTGGTAGTGAAAGATTTCTCGCGTCATTGGTTCTCTTTATCACATTAAACATCTACTTCAAATAGACAGTTTCAAAACAATTTACTACTCATTGATACACTCTCAAGTAAATTATTGCAACATAATCTGGGGTAACACATTTAAATCATTTTATGATCGTCTACATAAACTGCAGAAACAATTCTTAAGGCTAGCTTTAAATAAGGATAGACTTTCTCACTCCGCTCCCCTATTTAAAGATCTTAGAATATTAAATATCTTTGATGTCAACAGATATTGTACTGGTCAGTTCATGTACAAAATCTTTAATAAGCACCCCAGCATAAACTGCAGAAACAATTCTTAAGGCTAGCTTTAAATAAGGATAGACTTTCTCACTCCGCTCCCCTATTTAAAGATCTTAGAATATTAAATATCTTTGATGTCAACAGATATTGTACTGGTCAGTTCATGTACAAAATCTTTAATAAGCACCCCAGTCTTCCAAAAAATCTATTTCAAGACTTGTTTGATATCAACATTAATATTCATCATCATTACACAAGACAATTGCATTATTTTCATATCCCTAAATGCTCTAAACTTTCCCTTCGCTATCTGGGTCCTAATCTTTGGAATGTTCTACCACATGATATTAAAAAATGCTCCACTCTAAATATTTTCAAATCTTCATATAAAAAACTACTCATCTATCGATAATGTATAATACCAATATCATACTATACTGTTGATTTTATACTGGTACCTGATTTTTGTAACATTTTTACATTGTACATCCTTAGATTAATTGTTAATACCATTTTTATATACCTACATGTAACATAATATAAGTGTTTTCTTTTATATGTAGTCTAGTTGTCATTTTAATGATTTCTGTTAAACCGCAACATATACCCACTAGGGTGTCTAGCGGCTTGTTTTTATAGTGTATATTATATAAGAATTATGAAATAAATAAATTGAATTGAATTGAAATTGAATAGTGTAGAATATCTAGAAACAGAGAGTTCTTACATTTTAGCGAGCACCCTAGAGACCTGTATCAAAATAATCCTTCCTATCTTTAGCTATTCAATCTTATTTTCATTTTACAACAACAAATTGTGCTTTTTATATAATAACTTGAAAAAAGTGTCGAAACTGGTATGGGTGTAAAACTGCTCTTTGAATTCAGTCGAAATGTTGAGACATGCGCAGAGCTCTATTTAGTGATATTTTCATTTCAAATATGGCGGCCAATCCGATGTCTGACGACCCTTACAAAGAATCTAAGCAGTGTGCATTTTTACCTCCTGTGAAATAACAAGTGGAATTTAGTAGTTGTTTTGTGTTTTATTATCATTCTGCATCTTAATTCTATGTGATGTGGTGTTGAAATGTCAGCAGAAATACATATCCATACGATAATCGAGTGAATCAGATAACAGATTTTTCGAAAGCCCGTCTCGTGCTAAGAATGTAAAAACTTGTATTATTACCACCTTGCTGGGCCAGTTCTAGGGGTTTTAGTGCTAGTTTAGAAGGCGTTTATTTTACTATATCGACCTGAGAAATGTGTGACGTCATAGTGGTGGTCCATATGGACCGGTCTAGAATATATTCTGGACCGGCAATTTTCCCCGGGAAATTAGATATCGTTCAATGCGTAAGATTTTCTTGCTGTTTCAGTCCTGGTCGTTAACGGTGGTAATAATACTAATAACGTCATTTCTGCGAGCGATATAGTGAAATATTGGACCTTGGGCCTTCGGCCCTTGGTCCAATATTTCACTATATCGCCCTTAGAAATGACGTTATTGTACTATTATTACCACCTTGCCTGGCCAGTTCTAGGGGTTTAAGTGCTAGTTTAGAAGGCGTTTATTTTACTATATCGACCTGAGAAATGTGTGACGTCATAGTGGTGGTCCATATGGACCGGTCTAGAATATATTCTGGACCGGCAATTTTCCCCGGGAAATTAGATATCGTTCAATGCGTAAGATTTTCTTGCTGTTTCAGTCCTGGTCGTTAACGGTGGTAATAATACTAATAACGTCATTTCTGCGAGCAATATAGTGAAATATTGGACCTTGGGCCTTCGGCATCAATGTCAAGCTAAATCAATGTTGTGTCTGAAACAGGTACCTGATCTACTCAAAACAGCTTGTCATTCATGTATACACGCTTAGCAAACACAGCGAAATGATCTGAATCTTGGAATTTCGTTCGAGAGCTAGTAATGTTTGCTCCGGTCTTCGTCATAAGTGTTCATCAGACTTCACGCATGCTCATGAGAAAAACCATCAACCAATAACGTTTATAAATCAATTTTGCGCATGCGCCTTACAACGGTAAAGAAATTCGTATTTATAAACGAAACAATTTGAGATAACCCGATATCAGTCGGAGAAATCTGACGATCTACGAAACTCACTTCAAAATATCAAATGCGGACTGACGGCGTATTCTACTGTGTTTGGATCTAAGATTAAAGGGTGACGCATATCGTTTAGCAAATCGAACGCTCGTTTCTGGTGTTGCTCACCGTTTAGTATAAAAGGCCCGATCCCGGAATAATACTCAAGGGTTCACAGGTTCGAGGTCGTTGTGTCAACACCTCTAACTGTTATATAGCATAAGTATATTATAGATAGTCACACATTTATAAAAGGGTGATTTTTATTTTGACAAATCAATTCCACATTTATGGGTGAAGTTTCAGGATCTTCTATTTGTGTATAATAAGGAAAAATTGGCATCTAAATTTCCCCATAACGTAATAGCACACAGCTTGGCATATGAAATATCCTACAAATGAAACAAAGCAAGACACACGGTTTCTAATACAAGGATTTATATTCAATTTGGCTGTTGTACATGTATTCTTTGAACGCAATCACTCTTTGGATAACGTTTTCAAAATCATTATAAACGGATTACTTTATCTCAAAGACAATTTCAATAAACTTGATTTTACAGAACTCCCCTTATTTCTTAAAAATGGACTGATCCAGTTGATTCGCCTGGAGCCGCCATATTGTTTTTATACGGGATGCTAATCGTCACCCTTTAAGAGTATAGATAAAGTATTTTATGGTCTTCCGAATGAGGTTAGTCTCTAGTTCGAAAGACAATCGTATCAACTTGAACAAAAGTTGTACCATATTGACTGAATTGAAATATTAACATAAGATACTTACGTACTTACTTAAAATATTAATCAAATTAATTCACATTAAAATACCATACTTTTGATTGATTCAAAATAAATTACATATTGCATGGTTAAATTGACAGATGTATCAAAACATCACACTAAAATATCAAGCCTGAAACGGGACTCGAACCCGGGACCCTCAGATTAAAAGTCTGATGCTCTACCGACTGAGCTATCCAGGCTCATGTACGCACAGGTTATAATAAAGTATTTTGAATTTGTGGTTTACATAAGATGTAAGATTATATTAAGACGGCTTTTGTGCGGAGAAGGCAATTCATAGATTTACAACATATGATATTGATTTTCGTGTATTAATTCTGTATTTCCTATTATTAACAGTAGTTAATAGGGTAGCCTAGGTAAAATTGTAATTAATTGTTTTATATTTTATTGAATTGTTAGACTGACCAATATAAATAAATTAACTAAACTTATATTACTACTGATACTGCAAAATATTATGCAATATTTTTGATATCTACCTACTATGAGTAGAAAATGTAACTTTACACATTTGTGATAAGCAAAAACTATTCAGTTTTATTTTCATTTTACTAACACAAAATGTGCACCTTATATAATTACAAAAAAATCAATGTTGAAGATTTTGGAACTTCTGTGTAAAACTAAAACTGCTGTTTGAAATAAAACATTAACATACTTAATTAAAATAAGTATATACTTTTAAGTTAATCAAATTAATTCACAATAAAATATTATGCAAGTTATTGATTCTATCATATAATTGACATATGTACAATATTCTTATATTTTCAAAGTAATATGCGTTGGTCCTACATGTAGGTTTTCAATGTACAAATGGGATTCCAGCGATATAAAGTTATATATTAATAGTTATTCTAAGAAATATTATTGTTTACGTAAATTAATATTTACCTTTGTGGACTAAGGCAATTTTAATGTTGGTTAACGGTGAGGTCAATTTTTGAAACGACGCCCGGGGGGTTCACTGTATATAAACCTTGAAGGGGGTCCTATATTGTCCTATATTTGGGCATTTGGTATGTCTTTCGGGGGTTATTTTTTTGGTATGGGAACACATTGAAATTTGACAGATTGGTATTGGAACATATTGATATCTGAGGGTTCAGCCTAGGACCCCCGCCGAAATTTACATACAGTGAACCCCGGAACACGACGAAGATCTAGATTATTCATGGTAGCAATATTCAGGTATATATAAATAAACTGATGATGATGTCACTTTAATGATGCCGAAATGATAAATGTGAATACAGTTGCATTAATATGTGTATATTATTGCAGTTCAGGTAACTTCGGGAAGTAAAAATGATACATTGCCTCACCAGATGTTACATGTGGCATGTTGCAGTCGAGCCAATAACATTGTAATTATGAGGCTCTAAACGATAGGGATCATCATGAATAAATTATGTTACATCTTTTGAAAAAATCAATATAGCATGTGTATATCGCTTGTATCTGTCAAATAAATGCTAATAAAACATTTTTATCCAATTTTGCTCACATTTCATTTTATTTCCTACATGTATAATGCAGAGAATTATTTTTGAATAGATTCATATATGCGTTAGTATGAACATCAATAAGCGTGTTTTGGTGATTATACGTTTTTGGAGGCCTCATTGGGTTAAATGAGAGGCGTGGAAATAACTTATAAAATTCATTTAATGATAGGGTGGCGCAAGTCGTTTAATTTTTAATTAGTTACGTATAAATACCAGAGAATGATTATGATGAATTCTTATACACTTTTAATTCTTGGAACATATATGAAGACCTTTACAAAAATGACAAGTAACTATAATTAGATAAGTGACAAAGTTGGCCGTTTGGCGCAACAGGTACAACATTTGTCAACTAACGGACGAGGCCAGATAATTATTATCAAATATAATTAAAGAATAACTCTATAAACAGACCACAAGAGATCAATAATATGGATTTATCGAGAGCTTATAACGGAAGTGCTTTCTCAGAATACTATGGTGGTCAACCCCAATATTACCCTTCTGGGTTCACAGACCCAACCAGAGCCGCTTCAGCCTATAATAGTTATGATGTCTACACAGCGGCACGCACATCGCTGGCAGCTGGGGCCGCTTATGGAGCGGCAGGACTTAGTGTAAGTCAACCAGCCAGCCCCTGGTCATCGTTAGCTACCTGGGACCCAAAGGTAGCTAGTTCACAAATCACGGGCTGGTTAGCCACCGGAAATGTCCAGGGAGTTGGTCAGGGGCAACCAATGAAACGTAAACGTAAAACAACACCCTCTCAAAGAATGGCAGCTAATATAAGAGAACGGAGAAGAATGTGTAGTTTAAACACCGCGTTCGAACGTCTACGACGGAGGGTTCCCGTGTTCCCTCATGAAAAACGTCTCTCAAGAATACAAACGCTACGTCTAGCTATAACGTACATTTCTTTCATGTCGGAATTGCTCACTGGGCAAGATATGAACACGATGATGAAGCAAACGATTACGGAACAGAAACCTGTTGTTTGGCAACCATATGATGATACCGACGACGCTGATCTGACCGATAGTTCACCTCCACAGGGTAACACTCCAACAAATGGGTATATAGACACAAACCAGCAAATCTAGTCGTAAAGAAAAAAACAAAAAGTATTTAATAATTACTTACAAAATGTGGTTCTGTTAAATAAAAAATTAAAATGCTTTCCCATCCGCCTAAAAATTCAATGCCGTTTGGATTCAGTGAAACATTGTTATATCAGTAGGCATATGAAATCCATTTCTATTTTATTTCTCAAAAAGGTTGCATGGCGATTCAGTAATATTGCGATAAATTATTTGTGTCAATCTATTTTGTATAAATGAAGATTTATCTAACTGAGACGTTTTGTTGCAGAGTTATATTTTTATTTTGACCATTCCAATATGAGAGTCTGTGTGAAGTTATCTCTCCAACTTTATTTCACAAATTAGTATTGATTGATTTAATATATTAGGATATTGTAACACTTTTTATAATTATTAATTATAATTTTAAAGAGAAACGGGCATCTTGTGATTGTATTTGTTGTTATATGATTGTTTTTCTCCAAGAAAAAAATAATTTAATTAATCATTTTTTTAAATTGCGGAAATTATAAAATTGTGAAAGACTCTTTATATAAGTCCGAGTAATATCGTCGCATGAGAATAACTTTGTACTATCTCACATTTTTACGGAACTGAGAAATCAAGGTTTGAAAGTTTAGAGGTCTGTACCTTACTTAGTATTGCTATGTGAAACTTGATTTTTTGTATGTCACCTGGTCTCACCCTAGAGATATCTTATATGAAATAGCATACCTTGAAACAATTTACAAGATCCTTTTTTAAAACTATGGAAATGGAGTTGATACAATTTCCCACCGGAATAACAGCTTATTTTTAATTTCAAATTGTCATATCTGATATCAACTGTTTCAACCAATCAACTCTCTAAGAATTGGTCATGTGACTTGCAAAACTTGGAGTTATAAAAATCTTATATTAAAACAAAGTATGCCAATATGCATGTTATTGTATCTAGAATGAAAAATAATGTTTTGCTTTGTAAAAAAAATCTTCAAAAACCAAAGAATATTATTTAATAAAATAAAGAAAATTCAATTTTTAAAACTTTAAAATCAATTTCTCAAATAAGTACAATTATTTCTTAATTTTGGAATCTCAGGACACCCTTCAAAAAGAATTTATTGCCTTTGAAACTAAGGCAGAAGTACAATGCATTGAAACCAATGATGCCAATACGGTCCCCCACATATTTCCCTCGGTATAAACCCTGTAGCCTAAACCTCCTAGCACATTACAATGTAGCCCCTAAGGGCCAGTCCGCTGGTCATTATCAGGTTATTTTTGATACAGACCAGTTGATTTTTTCACTGGGTATAGGAGAATAACATTGCAACTGGTCCGTAATTCCATTTTGACCAGCAGGTTTTAGATCCTTAGGGCCTAAGACATGACCAATTTTTATTACATGCACATGGAAGAAATTTGAAAATAGAAAAATAATTTCTAATACATTTTAGATTAATGAAAGTGATGAAACCTCGATTTAGGTAATCACATTTTGTTCATTGGGATGCAGCTATCATTATCCATTCATTTTCTGTTGTTTGCTACTCTGTGGAGTACAATTGGGAATTGACGCAATTGTAGAAGTGGAGACTAAGAGTGGCTCTTTGTAAAGAAATTGAACCAATTTGTTACTTTTCCAAAATAAAATGTAGATGATCATTTATGATGATCCCAAAAATGCAAAAGAAAGGACAAATCTGAAAAGCATACTAGTAATAAAATAACTAAAAAGATCCCAGATGTTCAGTGAATAGCGCAAAGTAAATCATAGATGAAGATAAAATAAAATAAGTGTTTTAAGGGACTATACTAACATAAAGGTAACTCCTTATTGATATAGTGTATGGTCAGTAAAAGTTAAAGCTAGTTTAAATAGATTTAGCTTTTTTCCACAAACCATAAAACATCATTTTGAAAGAGATTTCAATAGTATACAGACAGTGATTGCCTTTGAGCAATGTAGTGCAAAATATGACAGTTACTATTTGTTTTGATTACTATATCTAGTATATAACCTATTATTATGTACTCTATTTGAAGAAACAAATAAGTAGTCTTTCATTTTCAACATTTAATGATGACAGCTTCGTATATGCATTTCTATTGCATTTGGCCATTCAAACCCCTCTAAGACCTGGTAGCAGGGAAGATAAAGGGTACTTTTGACTGCTCACATGATCTAATTAACTGGTCATTTGTACTTTTCATCTTCCCTGGTAGCAAGGATTTAGGTTTTCGAGGAAATTAGTAATTCTATTTCATATCATGTGGCCATGAATAATCCAATGAGAATCCATAATACAAAGAGTAATTGAGGGCATATAATTTGAATATGCATGGGATTACACATACTGTATCATTTTATTTTTTTGATCTACTTGTAATAGTTCTAAAACTAAAACATGAAAGGCCAGGCATGCAAACTGGCATGGTATTGTGTTACAAAACATTATTTCATTTTAGATACAATAACATGCATATTGGCATACTTCGTTTTAATATAAGATTGTTATAACTCCAAGTTTTGTAAGTCACATGACCAATTCTTAGAGAGTTGATTGGTTGAAACAGTTGATATCAGATATGACAATTTGAAATTAGAAATAAGCTGTTTGTCTGGAGATGGTACAATTTCACACTGAATTCTAGCTTAATGAGAGGGAATTGAGATGGGGCATGTATCTGAGATGAAAGCCTGTGTTTCAAATAGTAAAATTCCATGTCTATCTCAATTTTTTTGAAAATGGCAGTTAGTACAAAGTTATTCTCACGCGACGATATATAGAATGCAGTGGATAATATGTATTTCAAAATGATTTTTGATTGCGGTAATAATAAAATTGTAAAGACTCTTTATATTTAGTCTGAGTAGAATATAGAATGCAATGGTTAATATGAATTTCAAAATGATTTTTGATTGCGGAAATATTGTGAAAGACTCTTTTCTATAAGTCTGAGTAGAATATAGAATGCAGTGGATAATATGTATTTCAAAATGATTTTTGATGTCAAAATATTCAATTGACTTGTGTATGTCTTCAAAGTAAGTTCAATCATTTATTCTTCAAAATGTTTTAACATTCAACTAAGAATTGTTTTTCAAATTTATCTATTGGAGGAATTGTACAAAACTGAATGAAGGATCTCAAGTTCGTATGTTAAATTGTGAGACGTGTGTCTGAATCTCAGTTTTCTCCGGGAAAATAGCATGTAGAAATAGACAAAAAAGAGATGAACATAAGTATGTAAATCTGATGTAAGACATGACAAGGTGTTTGTAAATTCTTTGGATATAATTTAATTAAGGTGTTATATATTCGAAAGACGATTCGTTCACAATGCTCAAAGTTCTCAACAGTCGATATAGGTAATTGCAATGAACGACAATAATATAATAGAAGTACAACATAAAACAAAGAATATGCAACACTTTATGTTGCATATCATGGTGCCAGCATCAGATCAGTGTGTATATTTGCAAGAGATATGCACGATTATGCCTGGGAATAACTTACATTTGAATATGATTCATTATTGTACTTCAGAAAATATTTATTGTTGAATAAAATATTTTACTTATAGATTGTAGTGTTATAGTCTAAACAATTGATATTGTGGTTGTTTTAACGTTTCGGAAACCCGAAGAATTCATTATCTTATCTGTAGTCAATTTAAAGCTATATATCATTGGCTACAGTTGACGAAAGATATCTAAAACCCAAATTAGAATGAGGATATATATATGTTTTATTCCTTCTCTCATTGGTTTTATAAAAATTTCGACCGCTTCAAAACATCAAGTTCTAAAAGATAACAACATATCTCATTTTGCATTGAAAATGTGTACATGAAATTCATAGTTTGCATCTCCGTGCCTATATCTGAATTTGCATTAGTTCCAGTCTCATATTAAAATAATAAAATCGTATAAATTACATGAATGTGACATATACGAGGGGTGATCAATAAGTAATGGACGCTTTTTTACACGGATACTTTTTAAGGACCAATCTCTCTGATTTTTTCACCAGTGATACATCATTCAATTATCTATCAACTCTGAAGGTTTGAAGACAAAATATGTAATGCATGTTGATATATCTTTATTTCCGTGAAGGGGGTAGAGGTACCCCGGGACCGACATTTATGTCACATATTCTGAAGCAATGCCAATTTTGCATATCAGTTAGATTTGAACTTTTTGATATGCCACAAGAGTTGTGTTGTTTGAATATCATGCTGCCTGTAGTAACACATAAAAAATAAGTATTGTAAGGTCAAAGTGTTGTATGGTCAGGGTTTGCAGGTGATTTGAGAATGCAATGTTGAAGAAGAGGTTAGTGAGAGGAGGTAACACCCTACTTCATGTGGACAATGCCCCTGCCCAAATATCTCAAAATGTTCAGGGTATAATATCCCTGGACCTGAACATGAAAAACCATGCACCCTTTAGTCCAGATCTGGCCACACACGACTTATGTATTTCTATACTACTTTTTTCTAGAGAAAAATGATGCAGGTTAAATGACATTGATGAAATAAAACAAGCTGTGTAACTGCAGTTTGCCACCATGTCAGAGAATGGAATCGGTCATGTCTTTCAATCTTGAGTAAGGGGATAATGAGGAAGTGTGTAGCACTTAATGGAACCCATGTAGAGGGCCCTGAAGAATGAATGTGGCATAAATGCCACAAAGTGAAGGCACAATATTCATAATCAATTATGGTGTATCGAAATGGTGTAATTCATAACCATCATGGTTTGTTTTGTTCAACCTGCATTAAACTGCATTGGGCGTTAAATGAGCTAAATAGCTTCAGAATGTGTGACGTTATGTCGGTCCCGGGGTACCCATACCTCCTTCACAGAAATAAAGATATATCAAAATATATTACATGTTTTGTCTTCAAATTTTCAGAGCTGATAGGAAATTGAATGATGTATCACTGGTTAAAAAATAAAGAGACTGGTCCATAAAAAGCATCTATGTAAAAAAAGCGTCCATTACTTATTGATCACCCCTCGTACTTATAACTCTTTGATTCGTATGATCTGTTACAAGTACATGTATTATGGCCGGGTATTAACTTGTAAAAGCTAAAAGTATGGGAAGGGGATACATGTATAATGCAAGACTGGCCCCTGAGGTCCCGGGACTAGCACAACATCAGGACTTTTAAATCATATGGAGTAATAGAAATAGGTCACAATAATCGACTGTCTTAAAGCTCAATCATCTGGCTTCCCGGGCAGTATTATACATCAACAACCAGTCTCCCAGATACCACCATAAAGTGACTAAGTAAGGAGAATGTCATGTCGATTGATTGATACATATGGATACATAATGTGCATCATCGACATTCATTACTTTTTAGGGTCATGTACTGAGATGTTTTGGATACAGGGTTTATCTTAATTAAAGGAGAATATGCGCGTACCAAGTAGCTAGGACCGTAAGAACCGAGGGAGATACATGTAT